GCGCGTCTCACGGCAACCGAAGCATACCAAGATGGCGGACCGTGAATTGCTTTAAAAGTTGAAATACGAACGAATTAAGACACGAATGTCACTTTTAATGCAATTTGAGGCGAGATGTTGATGGTTCCGTTTTGTCACATGTGGGTTTTAAGAGTCAAAGTTTCGTGCAAAGTTTAGTTTAAGCAGTCAACTGCGCCTGTGAAACCACAAAGCTAATGTTTTCATAGCAGTCCGCGGCTGCTGACGCAGGCTGATGACGCGTCCTGTGGCAACTCTACAGCTTACAACTGGTCTGTCGGGTTGATAATGGAAATAATAAATTTCATTCAATACATGTATCGTACTGTATTTAATATGATTAACAATAGTGTGTTCAAACAAAATATTTAATTAGATTGATTTTTTTCCCCATTTTCCATTATCAACCCGACAGACCAGTGTAGAGTGGCCACAGGACGCGTCATCAGCCTACGTCAGCAGCCGCGGACTGCTATGAAAACATTAGCTTTGTGGTTTCACAGGCGCAGTTGACTGCTTAAACTAAACTTTGCACGAAACTTTGACTCTTAAAACCCACATGTGACAAAACGGAACCATCAACATCTCGCCTCAAATTGCATTAAAAGTGACATTCGTGTCTTAATTCGTTCGTATTTCAACTTTTAAAGCAATTCACGGTCCGCCATCTTGGTATGCTTCGGTTGCCGTGAGACGCGCATGCGCAGTTTTGCATTACATCATAAACAGCTGGGGAAGTGCATCTCTTCAAGGAAGTGTATCTCGGCGTTACACCGGCAGTTTCTTCTGCCTGAGCGAGTTAGTAGCCCCGCCCCCGTCCCTACGTCACACCACATGAACGCGCATCGTGTTGGTGATGGCAGCAGCATGTTCATCTCCGTCGGGTCTACTCGTAAGTATATTAACAACAAACTCTGGGAGTGAAATATTAGCATAGAATAGCTCAGTTGTAACCTAGCTATAACACTGGAAGCAGCTTGGTGTTAGCTAGGATAGCATCACTAAGAAAGAGATAAAAACAATCCAGTCTTTTATAGAATAACACTGCTTTTATAGTTGGCACACTGATAACTGTTGTGATAAACATAATGTTGCAGATTGCAGTGTGACGTGTCTCAACATTATGCACTGTAACATCTCTTACAGTGCATATGTATTAGATGAATGTAATGCATATACATTACAACAACAAAGCTTTACATGAAGGTTATTTAAAGTAATACATTACTGCTTTCCTCACAATTTGTATATTTGGAGTTCTTTATAGACAACACTGTAGTAATGTATTATGTGAAAGTAAAGCTGCATCTCACTGGAAGCTGCCTTCTCAATGTCACAAAATAAAGATACATTTGATGTAATCAACATCTGTATTATGTGCTTATTGTTCAGAGAATGAAGACAAAATCAAAGTGTATCAGAGCTGTACAGTGAGATGTGGGACTGAAAAACAATTCCAGTAAAGCTTGTCCGAAACGCAAAAGTACTGTCATAACTAATTACGTTACACTATTACACTGTAAGGAAACTCACCACTTTGAAAGAAAAGCTACAAGTAACAGAATATATAGTCATTTGTCATAACGGTTCTTTCAGGAAGCACTGAACGCCCTCTGTCCAGAGAAGCTGATGACCAGATCCTTTCCCTGATGCGTCTGTGAAAGGTGCCAACAGACATTGAAAACGTGCTTTCCTCAGCGGCCCCCATGGTGCACGTCCTCAGCGGCCCCCATGGTGCACTTCCTCAGCGGCCCCCATGGTGCACGTCCACTCTGCAGTTCTGAAATATGTTTGTAGTTGTACTATTTCAAAATAAAATAAAATACATACACCTCTTTCAATGTGCTTTGTTTTATAGTAGGAAAACAAATACAGTCTGTAACGAGTCTAAGAAACTTTATTATGTAAAAGAAGATTTGAAGTTATAGCCGGAAAAATATACACAATGTCCCTACTAAGACAAATAATTACAAGTGATGGTAAGGCAACGTTTGTGTTATCACTTTTTGCTCAAATGAATAACACTGTTATTATCCAGGTCCTTATCCATCGCTGCTGCAGTGAACACTATCAGAGATATCTAACAAAATGTTAATCTTTATGTTGTAGTTTGTTTGAACACATTTCCTCAAAATAATTCATAAGCACACACAGCCACACACAGTCACAAGCACACACAGTCACAAGCACACACAGCCACACACAGTCAAGCACACACAGTCACAAGCACACACAGCCACACACAGTCAAGCACACACAGTCACACACAGCCACACAGCCACAAGCACACACAGTCACAAGCACACACAGTCACAAGCACACACAGTCACAAGCACACACAGTCACAAGCACACACAGTCACAAGCACACACAGCCACAAGCACACACAGCCACACGCACACACAGCCACACGCACACACAGCCACACGCACACACAGCCACACGCACACACAGCCACACGCACACACAGCCACACGCACACACAGCCACACGCACACACAGCCACACGCACACACAGCCACACGCACACACAGCCACACGCACACACAGCCACACGCACACACAGCCACACGCACACACAGCCACACGCACACACAGCCACACACAGTCACAAGCACACACAGCCACAAGCACACACAGCCACACGCACACACAGCCACACGCACACACAGTCACACAGCCACACGCACACACAGTCACACGCACACACAGCCACACGCACACACAGCCACACGCACACACAGTCACACGCACACACAGCCACACGCACACACAGCCACACGCACACACAGCCACACGCACACACAGCCACACGCACACACAGCCACACGCACACACAGTCACACGCACACACAGCCACACGCACACACAGCCACACGCACACACAGTCACGCTTCAGGGGCCCAGGTTGAAGGAACTGGAGTCTTCCTCTGGCAGAGATTTTCCTTTGAAACACAATAGAGGAGACATCAGTTTTATCTACTCAAATATGACTTTGATATATTCATCATCAACAACATCAGTATTTATTGGTCACCAGGAGTGGCCCCTGATTCACAGGATCCTTGTACATGTTTATTTGGACTGTGAGAGACTGTGCATTGTGAGAGAAAGACACTTACATCGGCTGTTTTGGGAGTCGAGTGATTATCTCACTCCTCTTGATTGTTGAAGAAACTCAGCGACAGTTTTGTCAACACTGACTCCTGGAACATGATGGATATTCATTTTGGACCTCAGGGCAGCAACACAACTGTAGGGATGAACGACACACACATCACAACATCATTATCATAATCACTGCGTCCCATATATGCATTCACAACAACCTACATGACAACTGTGGGGTGTAAAGTCTTCCTCAGGAGATGACAATGGCCGATCTTCTAATTCTGGAAGCAAAGTCTTGTCTTCGCAGTCAATACTAGAGAAAGAAGAGGTCAGCAGAAAAGTATCTAGTCGTTATGGCATTGTTTTTTTTTTTAATATAGTTATTTAACTTGCATTATGGAGGCTTTTGAACTCTTGTACATTGAAGACCTCATTCCAATTGATTTAGGCCATACTGGAAAAGATACAGAGAAAAGAATGCAATGAAGACATGTAAATTATTACAATGTCTATATTATATCATGCTCATAATTTATTTGGTAGTAGTCAGCAAGACTCTTACTTATTCTCAATACATAATAATAAAAATGTATGTAGTGGTCACGGAAGTTAGATTTCAGGTAAAGAGATATTGTTTTTATAACAATAAAACTAATATACAGAGTGCAAGTTGAAAAACTTAGTCATTGAAGAATGAAATGCAGACCTACATATATATATATATATATAGTGCAAGCAACTATGTTTATTGGCAAAAACAAACGATTCATACAGATCAGAAGTGTTCGTAGCAGCCACATCATATTCACAACTACAGACAGCTAATGCTAACAGCTAATGCTAATGCTAACAGCTAATGCTAATGCTAACAGCTAATGCTAACAGCTAACGCTAATGCTAACAGCGAACGCTAATGCTAACAGCGAACGCTAATGCTAACACCACTTCACGGGGGAACTCTGGTGATATGGTCATTTAATTTTGTACATGCAGGGAACTAATAATTGACCGGAGTTTATGGATGGCTGAGGCTGGGATAAGGCTTCGATGTTGTGTTGTCTGTTGTTGTTTCTCAAAGCTAAGCCAAGGTAATGCGCAGTTATTGCCACAAAATGCGGCCGTATTTCTACAACAGCTGTGGATTTTTAACAAGCTAACTTGGTGAAAGCCCGCATTACAGTCTCAGGCAACAATATGTATAAATAATACAACTACTACTGCCACTACTGAGTAACATCCTCACCTGTTCAGTCGGAGAGAGGAATCCACGGAGCTAGAGGTCGCCAACATGAATGCAGCTGGTCACCATGTTGCTCCTACTTTTTGTCGTTCCTCTGTTTCTGGCGATTTGCATGTATTTAATAGATCCATGGTATTTAGTCTGCAGCAGCGCTGGAGGCGGCTTTTCCTTCTCCGCCATGTTTGTTTTGAAGAGTGCGCGTGCACACACGGGAGAAACCCCTTATAAGGCGTGCTCTCTCGTCATTGGATAAGCGCATAGGATGTGAGGTTTTTTTATTATATATGTGGGAGAAGACTGGAAGGACTGAGAGATCCGTGTTTAGGTACAAACACTCTATATAAGTGATGGCTATTGGAATATATCAATATTTAAGACGTATATTAACACCCAAAAATCGCTTACTGCTGCTTTAACTGTTACAGTTATTCAGATACATTATAATATAATATATATATATATATATATAAAAAATATAATTACATATTATTTTGCTTGTTTGTTTTCTACTTATTGCGATGGAGTCGGTCTATGTTTTTAACAAAAAACCTCCCGAGTCGCTTATTTCTACTGTTGCCAAGGTAACGGCCGTAAACCGTTCTGAATGTCGCGAGTTGTTGTGGTAGCTGTCATGGCGGCTCCTCGGAGGTTGCAGATGTGCGCTGTGGCTCCTGCAGCCAAACACACCGCGTCCGTGGTCTTCCTCCACGGCTCAGGTGTGCCCTATTTGCCCCTGTCCTCCGACACACTGGAGGGTGTAAATACAGGCTTTGTTCCAGGAGCTAGCGCGTTTTGTACCTGATTTAGTTTAGCTCAAGTGGTGGAAGCTTCAGTTTTCAATGAGCGTGACCTCGTGCAACACGGGAAGAGTAGTTATCTGTTTCCCACAGATGTAACGTTATATCTGAAAAAAAAAACATTCTTTATAAAGTATTTCTTCATTAACGCTTGTCATGAATGGTGAGACCACACATGTCGCTAACATAAACTTTTGACAATCATTGTATTCCACGTGCAATGTGAGTCATTATTATTGATTATTTGTATCTGTTCTACAGTAACACACCTTTCAAATCATTTCCCATGCTCCCTGAGTCACTTTTCACTGAAATACGAATTACTTTGCAAGACTTGTATGTAACTTGTAGTAATAGTCCCTTATATTTTGACGGTGCAACTGATCAAATGTTCTGTATATCCTACAGGTGACACTGGGCAGGGCCTTAGAGCTTGGGTCCGAGACGTGATGAAACCTGACCTCTCATTCCCCCACATTAGAGTCATCTACCCAACAGCGCCACAGCGGTGAGAGACCATTGGGACCACTTTTTACCATTTTACCGTCTCATAGTTTGTTAAAGCCGGGGTACCACACTTTTAAAGCCTAAAAATGTAACTACATTATACAACCCATGTAAGTTCCCCAGCTTTAATCACCATGGATATTGTCACAACCTGTAACCAATGAATACTCTTTAGGCCGTACACTCCGATGAGAGGGGCTCCATCGAATGTCTGGTTCGATCGGATGAAGATTTCCAGAGACAGTCCGGAGCATCTGTCCTCCATAGACGCCATCGCTGAAAGTTTAGGTTCCCTCATTCAAGACGAGGTCAATGCAGGCATCCCCAAACACAGAATCATCATAGGTGCTTGTTTGTTTTTTACTTATCTGTATAGTTGGGCAGATGGCCTGTCACAGTAATTCAATTTTGATTTTCTTTATCTAAGACATTGAACATGTACATTGGCCCAGTCATTAGAGATATTTACCACAAAACTGCTTTTCTTTGAGATAATCCATGCTTTGTTGTGCTTGGTGGTTTGCGCCAAGGTGGTTTCTCGATGGGAGGAGCGATGGCGCTGCACTTGGCCTGTCGCTTCCACACAGACGTCGCCGGAGTGTTTGCACTCTCCAGCTTCCTCAACAAAGACTCTGTGGCATTTCAGGTATCTGTCTCTAGCCTTTGTGCATTGTTGTCATAAACTCAACCACAAATTAAATTCCTGATGAACTTTTAAAAGATGTTCATTGTAGGTTAGGTCAATAACACAGTACATTACCCAAATACATATGAGAAACCTTGGTCTAACTCCAAAGAGTGCAATTGACCTGCTGCATCTTTGAGTTCAATGGTCACCAGATCAAAAACACCATTGACTTCTAAGTTCTATGCAACAATATGGACTGTAGTGAACTTCGTATTTATGCATCGGTTTTATATAGCACTTTTTTGGACTCTATAAAATTATCTTTTCACTCACTACACAGTGGCAATAAGTAACTACTGTATTTTTTGACTGTTTTTGTTGTTGTTGCTATTCATCTTGTTCTAGTGCTTACTTTTCCCACTGCCCTGTAATGTGCAGTAACAATGAAACTTGGGATGGGTGAAGGAACAGTAAAGAAAAGTAAACGTGACATTTTGAAAGTAGTCAAGAACACATCAACACAATGTCAGTGAATTAAGTTAGTAATAGGTTTATGACTCCCCTCTGTGCAGGCCGTGGAGCAGCGCTGCCGGAGCCTTTTGCCCGTGCCGGAGCTGCTCCAGTGCCACGGCACCGGCGACGACCTGGTGTTGCATGAGTGGGGTCAGGACACGGCTGCTCGGCTGCAGGCGGCTGGGATGAAGTGCTCTTTCCGCTCGTATTCGGGACTCCAGCACCAACTCTACGGCCCAGAGATGGAGCTGCTGCGTGGGTGGATCCTCAGCAGACTGCCCCTCTCCTGACCCCACACCTCCACAGAGCCAAACTAAGGACAGGTTCAGGAAAAGTGTGCGCTCTGTATTTGGACTGATGTGTCCCCAATCCAGAAGACCGCTCAGTGACAGAACATCTTCAGGTTTTTTTTCCAAGTGAACGGCTCAAGAAGACTGTAAATCTCCCTACAGCTGTTTTCTTATTCTCTTATTGAACCTTCTATATATATTAAATGCTCTGTCCTCACTTGGTACTGCGATGCAAATCTGTATATCTGCAAGCTTATTTCTCACTTGTTATTCTCCACACATCCTAATTATTCACTGCAATGAATTCATATATTATATATTCCACCCAGAGGCTACTCCACTTCTGCTGCTGTGACCTGAAGGGCTGTTGCTTATTATTACTATTGTTAGCTTTTTGGATTTATCAAAAAAAAATCTGCTACTGGACACCTGAATTTGTCCTACGGGGATCAATAAAGTATCTATCTATACACTTTTTTTTTTTTTTTTTTTAGCAAAACACTTTGTAACATCAATAATTTCTTTTTTTACATATTTGATCTGAGGCAATTCCAAATTTAGCCAGCCACGTTAACTCTGTCCAGTTTCATATTGTGGTGTACTGTTGTTCTGATGCGAGCCCATGTTCTAAAGTAACATGAGCACATTGTCATTTTACACAATAGAAATGTTTTTATTGGAGTCAAGTGAACATAGGTTCAGTGGTTGTTTCCATAGTGTATTGAAACATACTGTACCTAGCGTGGGAATGACAGTGCTATGTTTTAAGATGAATAATCATGATCCTACTTGTAATAATTTAGGATGGAGCATGGAAACAGAACTTGTGCCTGGTTGAATCCGAAGCCCAGTTCAACCTGGAAGAACAAAGTGTCATTGTTGCATGCATTTTAAAGTAATGTCACGACTCGCGTTCTCCAATCAACAGATTCATGGTTTTATAGTGCTTCCTGCTGGACAATATAGTAAAACTACAAACATCAGAAATGTAATACATTATTATTGGCATTAAATTGTTAATGCCACTATAAGTAATAATGAAGAACTTAAGTAGATAATACAGGATGAAAAACAGTTAAGAGTAAAACAAATCTTTACGCCTATGGCACCCTATGCTACCACCAGAGGGAGACTGCAAACACAGAAACGTGATTGGATATAGTCATTTCACCTGAGAAATTACCAAAACTAATTTAAGGGAATTTATTTTAGTGTGTTTTAAAAATATTTCATTGTGGTACAATGACTTCACACTATTGCATAACTCAGACCAGTGATTTTAGATAGAAGGGACGAAGTTACATGCCGATGCTGAAAAACTAGCCATAATTGTGCCATAACTTGTGGCCATACTTGATTGCAAACGCCAGATCCCATTAGACCTCTGAAGCTGTGCAGAGCAGAGCCTGGTTAGTACTGTGATAGGTGACCTATGGGAACATCAGGTGCCACAGCGGGGCAGCTGTGAAGCCAAACCGTTGTGTCCTTAAGATACATAATTCCCATTGCTTAGAAATAGCCTGGTGTGTGTGAATGATTGGTGGTGGTTGGAGGAGCCGATGGCACATAGTGATAGCCTCACTTCAGTCATTGTGCCCCAGAGCAGCTGTGGCTACAGTAATTGTTTATCCTCACTGTGTAAAGTGATGATAAACTGAAGTGACCGAAACACCTACACATATACTTTGGGGATTAGTATAATCCAATCTAAAATATTGTCTAGATTTTCAAATATAATAGTTGGGAGAAACAAAATCCTAAAAGTAAATTAGGATTAATTAAGACATTCTTATAAACTAGTGTTAATCCAACTCTTACAGGTCAGATCTATTGAGAAGAAACATTTCTCACAGTAACAGACACTTTTGAGCCATACAAGTTTAATGCCATTCCCAGGAAGAATCCAGGCATAGCTAAAACAAGCCATAACCCGAAAAGTTACATTGTTCACCTTTAAATTAATTACATTTTGTGGGTTTAACTTCCGAGAGGCCGTTTGTAAACCAGTAGACGCAACATTCATTCATTCACATATTTTTTACATTAAATATTCCCAATAAAATCTTCATTCCCCATTCACAAAATAAGACTTCAGAAATTAAGATTAAAATGAGTCCGATGCGTAGTCCAAAACCCTGAGGTCCATTCTGAGTAGGCGGAATTGCACTGTTCTAATAGAATATGGTTAAAGACTTGATTTCAGAGCCCATTTGAAATTAAAAGCACAAATATTATAATACACCTCTCATTGACTTGTATGAATGTAGTCCCTTAAGCATCTACTTTGCATTTCATGTTTCAGTAAAAGGTTTACAATTTTACTTGAAAATTACACAAGTGGAGAGTTCTAGATTCCAAGTTCAACACGTCTTAAATTAAAGTTAATAAATATCATCAATTCAAGTCATTTAACCCATCTAGACTGTCTCGGTGTGCAGTGTGGGAGCGATATATGTGCTGTTGAATGCAGAGGAGGGTTTGAAAGTCTTTTGTTGGACGGAGGATCAGAGCAGTCCCGGGAACATGTTCTGAAGAAGCAGAATTACTATGACCACCATGAGACCACAGCAGAGCAGCACCAGCCACACCGGACAGGAGCCTAGACAACAGTAGAAAACAATTATCAAAGGGAAAGAACCTGGAACATAATGGAAAATGTGTTTTCATTTCTTGTGATTATTCTTATCACAGCCAGTGAAGATTGAAAATGGGTGACACATCAGGGACACACAGGGATGTTCAACTTGCTAGACTTTTAGAGGTATCGGCCCGCCACAATCGCCTTACATACCAAGTACCTTCAGTGTCAAGAAAGGCGCCATAGAAATAAAATGTATTATAATGATATTTACCATGATTTGATCCTTTAAGGTATATTGTTTCTTTCATTATTTTTGTAAAATAATTACTCAGTTAAGCCAGGACCAGAAAATGATAGTCACTGGTCATATGTGTTAGTTCCTGAGCTTCTTATATACTGTACCTCCTAAACGTGTGACTCTCAGTGTAGTTCGTTAAACCTTCAGAATCTTGACAGATACAACTTTGAAATAACTCACGTCGATTGTTGAGCGCATGAAGCTGGAAGCGGCTGTCCACTGCCACACTCAACAAGGCTGCCTCGTGGTCCCCCCTCAGCTGTCTGCCCCGGGGCGAGTCTGGCAGGAAGGCCAAGTCCGTAACGACGATGCCGTGGGACTCTTGAACGTAATACAGTTTCTGCGCACAGCAGGTTTGAGCTTTAATGCTTTCAATTGAAATGTTAGAGCAAAGGTGCATGTTTTTCTTCCTTCTTTTAGCCTTTTTAAATGTACTTATTTAATTGACATTTTACAATAAATGTATTGTACAATTTTAATGTTCTGTAAGGTTCAAGTTTTTGTTCTCGTGAGTGATTTCAGTGAAGTTACCTGTAGTGAAAAAGCAATGTAAATAGCGACAGATCCAGTTACCGTCCCCAAACCAAGAAAGGTTCCAGAATCACTGAAACAAAGAGCATCTGCAGATTATTGACCATTTACATAAATCATGCATATGTGCAAGAAAACAGCCTCATAGTTTATGGCACGTTACTGTAAACAAATTGCTGCTCTTTTCAGTACTGAGCTGTGGATTAGTGCTTACCCCTTTTGTCTTTCTTCATTCATCTCCAAGCCCTTTTCTATTTCTGTGTCGGGGTGGTGGCCATCAGAGCTGCCTCCCAATTCACAGAGCACTGGCCCCTCACTGATCCTTCTACGGGTGGCCTGTCCACGGGAGGATGGCTTCTTCATCACAGACAACACAGCCTTGATTTTACAGTGGGGGCTTCAGGCAAGGTGGGGTTAAGTGTCTTGCTCAAGAACACAACGGCAGCGAACATCAGTGGGAGTGGATGGAGTAGGTCGCTTGGAAGGTTGAACCTACGACCATTAGGCCGGAAGATCAATGCTCTACCCCCTGAGCTATTGTCGCCATTTTGTTCTCCATTACGTAAATGTTTTTTTTCTATTTTTGAATGTGTTGACTACACTCACAATTCACATACTCAAAGAAGTCTTGTGACGATCTGCATAATATTATTCTGCTCTAAAGACAAATGCACAACATGAAAGTACCTGACAGCGAGCGTGGATATAACCTCCGAGCCACAGGGGGCAGTGAGCATGGGCAGGAAACTCTTGCCGTCCCATTTGGTGATGAAGCAGGGCGGGGGCTTCCTGTCACGCTTGTGAGGGATCTGCACCGTGTACAGCCGCAGCGCCTCCTTCTGGTCTTCTACGGAACCAAACCTGGAACACACAGCAGAGGCTTCATTCAAACTGGATTCTTTGTTTGAAGCAGAACTTTTTTGTTGTCGTTGAGGTTCACATTCCATAAAATGATATGACAAATCCCAATGTTAGATAAGATAAGATATTCCTTTATTTCGTCTCACAGTGGAATCAAGGAATATCTTATCTTATCTAACATTTGGTTTTGTTCCTGTTGCGCTTCAGTCCTTCTCCGTACCTGCAGGCCATGTAGCGGTAGGTCTTGTCCCCCATGCCAGGTCTGGTCTGGTGCCACTGGAGGCTCATGGCGAGTTGGTCTCCGCTCCAGACACTGCAGCTGAAGTCTCTGCCCACTGTCACCAGCTGCACAACATTTTAGGGGCAAATTTATCAATCCAGAGTCTGAAAACAAGTGTGCAATTCGTTCTGTGGACTTCGAGCTACAGTTTCATATAGTTTTGAGTAATCATGAAATTGTAATCAAAGCTTTGTTTTATAACCGGCAATTTCACTTTCAGATGAAAAACTGTCAAAAAGTGGAAAAAGCTCTGATGCATACTATATTTAAAGAAAAAAAAAAGTCACCTTGTTCCCTGGGCTCAAATCCAGATCTTCTACCTCATCTTCATGTGCTTTGAAGTCATATTTCTTCTTTAATGATGGGAACTGTAAAGACAAGATGTGTTTTGAGACCGCTCCATTAGGAACAAAGTATTGAGCAAATCCTGTGCCCTTGATTCATGTTGCATTAACCCTCAATGACCTTATAACCTCACTATATCATTCCCATCTGTAAGGCGATGCAGACTTTTATATTGATACGTTACATTATGTAATATGTGATGCGGCTCCTTCAAGTCTTCAGTTCATTTTTATTCAATTTATAGTCCAGATTATTAGATTAAGTGAGGGAATTTTAGACTGAGGGGGTAACAACATCTCTTGGAAAATATAGAAGACAAGACCATTTTACCTCCCAGACCCGTATGTGTCCGTCCGTGCCTCCGGTCAGCAAAAGACTCCGATCTGGGCTGAAGCGGACCACCTTCTGCAGAGGGTCCTGAGGGTTGAGGTCAGACTGGACTTCGCCTAGATTCTGGACCTGGATCTGTGGCGTGTCGTCATTCAGCTCCGCCGCATCCCTGGAGTCTTGTGCCGGAGCATTGCCTTTACCTGCTCTCCTTCGGGGGGCGCTCTGCTGGCTGTTTTCTGCTGCAGAGACAGAACACAAGTTATTAAATAGATCCTGTTAAATGCTGCAAGACCTCGCAATACATTCGTCCTTTGTGTCCATGTTCCAACCTTTGTCACCATCTATCACAACTGTTACAGAGTGTGACCAAGAGATAATCCAATATATCTGACCAATGTCAATGTTTTGAACAACATTTCCAAGGTTGCAGACGCCATGACTGTGGCAGGGTAGATCAGATAGGTGCCTGTGTTGTGGTATACTATACTACTTGCACTAGAATACACAGTACTTTATACTTGCTTCTACTTATACTAAAGATAGATATTTTATACACATTTTTCATGCTAGAGTTAGAGATTTTATTTTATTTCATTTTATTTAGTTATTGTTGATTTATCTGGTGCTGTGTGCTACTCATTTGCAACATTGAAATCTCTTAATCTTAATCCGATTGTAGTCTGATCGCACACTTGCCATCTTTTGTTGCTGCCGGTTTTGTTTTACTCTGCGCGTGTTTGAACTTCATGAGGCAGCAGTTTCCGTCCTGTCCTGTGGCGATGACATCATCTGCCAGTGCCAGGTTCATGTTGGCTTTGGTTTCGGTGTCGTGAGCATGAAGCAGTGTTGCACCGAACTCGCGCTCCCCCACTCTCTGCAGCTCCAGGAAGTGCTTAAAGAAATGAAAGAAATACATGTTTTCTTATGTGTCCTTACATGGCTATACAAAATAGATATGCAACCTCAACCCTGTCATATCTCAACTTCATGTTTGTGACTTTCTAAGCATACCCTGAAGAAGACCATTGTTAGGGTTCCCTGCAGCAATTAAGGAATTTTAATATAACAGTCAGAGTGCCTTGGGTCTATTTGCCCACATCACTTTTGAGCAAGGTTAACCCTTGATTCAAAATCAGATTCAAACTTTTTTTTTTATGTGACTATTTTAACGGTGAAGGCGTACAATTGTAAGCGTGGTAGTGAACGGCTGGCATTAATATGATGTAAATTGAAATCCATGACTGGTAAAGAGTTAAAAGACACTAAAATATAATACAAATAATTAATATTCAGCCTTTCTTCATGGAATATATGAATAAGGGTTTGACAGTTCCAACACAGCCATTAGTCTGATGTGCAGGCAATCTGCAGCCATGGATTTCATGCTTTGTTTTCTTTGGGAGAATATCTTATGACTTAAGCCTAGTGTATACTTGCGCGGCGTGGCTTACGTTAGCGGTTGCGGTGGACCTACGTGAGCACAATTGATGTTATACTGGCGCGTTCCCCTTACGGAGTTTTGAGGAGAATGTTGTAATCCCACAACAAACCACATGAGGGCGATCACACAGGAGCGGTCCCATTTACGCTGTTACTTTGTCCTCTTCAGAACAACAATAGCAAACAAAGCTGTTTGAGCTCATTAAACGTGTTTCTACTGTAGGTTTATGTGATAGTTTAATGGATTCATTATTTTATAAGTCATTTCAACTGTGATGCTGTGAATAAAGATACAGTTCTTGTTGGAAACATAGTTATTATTAAATAGTTTTCAGCACAAACAGCAAAACAATAATAGTGGTAAATATCTGAGACAAACGTGAACGATTTACGAGTGCAGGAGGAAAGCAACAAACGCAGCTACGATTCAAACAAAGACAGGAACAGTGCAAAACAAACGACTGCACAGTTTATAAGTTATATATATGTTAGATAGTCCACAGTCTCCTGTATATCAGGCTCTGAGCCCAAACTGCTTTTCCTTCAAAGCACAAAGCTCTCTGGTCCATAGTGCCTCGTCCATTGTCCCTGCTGCAGCCGCTTCATGCTTCCTTCCACACACGGACCAATCACAGCGCAGATTCCTTGCGGCTACACTTACGTAGTTAGAAAATTTTTATGCTGCGCGGCAGGCAACGTAAGGGCCTTGCGGTGACCAACGCGTTGCGCAAGTGACGTCACGTCACCTCCGTAAGCTCCGCGCAGCGCGAGTATAAACTAGGCTTAACTACCTTTATTTTAGGATTGTGGATTACCGGTAGGCTGCATAAAAAGGCCTAGAATAAAATTGTGATTTATGTGACAAAGCTGCATTCTCAAATATACTGTAGCTATAATAATTCTCTGCCCATTGTAATGTATGTGTATGAGGGGTAGACCTTGTTTTTCTTCTCACCAGAGCATTCTTAATTCCAGTTTTGGATGCTCCTCCACCTCCAGCGACGACTATGAGGCCTGAACCTGGATCAACTTTGACAGAGTAGAGTGGAAATGGCGCTCTGTATAGATCAGGCACCTTCCTCTTCCCCATTGTGACGACAAAATGCTTTGGTCACAACAACTCTGAGTACCAGGGCATCAAACCTACAAAAAAAGCGAATACATTTTTTTTACGATAATGCAATTCCTGAAAGTATCTCTATAATCAGACGCATCACTTTTAAGTAGAAATTACAAGTGGATGAAGAATATTGGCAGAAACTGTACATATATTTCAGTCATTCTTCGCTTCTGTCATCACCATGTGTGAATGGAAAAATATTTGATTTCTAAACATTGCAATTGTAAAGAGCTTTGGGTGACATTGGTCTGTAAAAACTGTTAAATAAGTATACATTACTTTCTTACTTACATTGTTAAAAATGGATGTATACATTTTTTAAACCACAAAAACATATACTGTGTAATAAAAACTTGGTCACATGGTCAGATTAGCTTTTCAGAGAGAAAATTATGAAGAGAACAACTTTTGATCAACCAATCAAGCATCAGATAAGAGACTCACAGACCCACCCATACAAACATGCATTATGGAAATATTTAATAATAAGATAAAGACAAAGTTGTGATCTTCATAGTTCACATAATTTTACTTTCTATTAGGACAAACATGATGTTTTATTTATTAAACGAAATAGTTGGCTACCCCAGCTTTGTAAGGGCTAATGTTGCAACCCCCCAGTTGTGTTTATGCAGGTCTATGTTTTAAAAATGAAAACCTAATGGAATGTGTTGTATGAGTAAACAATAATGTTACTCATACAAGTCATTATAACAGATCCATGATAATAACTTCCTAGAATACAGGGAATGACCATTGTTAGAAAGTATGTAACAAAGCAATGTAACATTCTTTATACTTTGTGTTTTCTTAATTATTTTCTGATCACTTCAAATCCAAGACTAACGCAGATTTTCTGTAAAGATGTTGTTGTCCATTTGTCAACAATCCGCAGCTGCTGGATTGGGCTCGCTAGCTACAGCAGTGCTAGCAGTCTTAGCTGCCCATTAATGGAACTAGTGTTAAAGTCTTACCAGAGTCCGAAGGGTCAAGTATCTATTCACTCACAAAAGCCAAGCACTTTTGTTCATTTCATTATTACGGCCTGTCATGGAAGTTGTTGAGGTTTTGCGGGACGGGGCTAGCATTAGCGGCTAAAGACAACCCCATGTACACGTCAGCCACGCGAGGAGAGCGTGATGACGTAGAAGCAAAAGGGGGTAGGAAATTATGGAAATTACATTACAAGCCTTTACAGTAACATTACATAATGCAATAATAAGGATAATAATCATAACAATTCTCTCACTTTTGTTGTTTTTCAACAAGTATCTAGTACTATGGTGTCAACAGAGAATGTTCCATATTATTAATCAATCAATCCACTTTTTAACCAACTTTACCTACACAAGGTAACACAGCGTGCTTCACAGCTCATATCACACAAGGAATAAATCACATCACATAAATCCTAAACATTAAAATCACATGGAATACAAAAAAACATAACAATTAAAATCACACTGATTATACAAAAAAGTTAAAACATCAAAATAACACAAAAACCACAGTGCTTTAAAAAGAGTTTATATAAAATCCTTCAGTTGTATCCACAGCTAAACAGAACAATCTTCTGAACTGTCAGAGCCATGGATCTGTAGGTCAGAGCAGACGCCTGTCGCACATTTTCAGGAAGGCAGTCACAGATTGCTGCATGAATCTGACTGATGAATCTCATAACTCCTGTGTTCCTCAGAGTCCGAATCGGTTCATATGGCACCAACATGTCACAGATGTATCGTGGGAGGCCACAGAGAGACTTATATACAAGTAGAGCTGGTTTAAAGTGCATTCTTTGAGGAAGCCAGTGCAGAGACCTGAGCACTGGTTCTAGTCAGGGCTTGAGCTGCAGCATTTTGGATATACTGCAGCAGTTTTACAGCATGTTTGGAGAGCCCAGTGAGCAGGCCATTACAGTAGTCTTACGTACAGAGACAAATGCATGATAATAATGTCCAAGTCTGTTTTAACTCAAGGTTTAGGGCAAACTGTGCTAACAGCACCTAATTAATTATTTCTTCTAAATCACAATCAATTGTCTCAGAGAACAAAGTTGTTGTTTCCTCAATAATAGATCAGGAATATCCTTCCTAAAAGTGACGCAGAAAAACTAATCCACGTTTTGTCACCACCTTGACCTCTGTAATGCCTTGCTGGCAGAGTGCCCTAAATCCAGCTCATTCAAAATACAGCAGCAAGGATCTAGACAGGGACCAAAAGGAGGGAGCACATAACTCCAGTGTTAAAATTATTCTACATTTCTGTGGAGTATAGAATACAATTTTTAATCCTTAATTCTTTTAACATACAAAGCCATAAATGGCTCTTTCCTACCTCCAAGACACATTAGTGTCATACCAACCAAACCAAGCACGGCGCTTACAAAGCTCCAGACGTCTGGTGGTTCCTAAAGTCTCAAAAAGCACTGTTGGCGGCAGAGCATTTAGCTACCAAGCTCCTTCACTGTGGAATCAGCTACCCATCCACGTTCAGGAATCAGACACATTCTCTACATTCAAGGTCAGGCTAAAACAGTCCTTTTAATTTAGCATAGGTTATGTAAGTAATACTCAGGGAAGTCTAAAATTCTTAGATTTTCTGTCAAGCTGCATATGGAGTCAGTTGGCTGAGAGAAGTTTGGTAACTTGAGCACTATTCTCCTTCCTACTTTATCTGTCCATTAGGATTTTGACTGTAGTCTGTTCACTGCTATTCACCCGTTGTCCCATTTTTGGATTTATGGCGCGACAAAGGGACCCCTGAACCTGGCCCCCTCCATCTGCACCTGCAGACGGCCCTGCACGACCTGCCTTATGAGCTGCACCCCCTCCCCGGCTAGAAGCTGCTTCAGTCCTGCACCGCACCTGTCTTCATTCTACAATTTGAGCCGCGTGGCCTTGGTCCTCGTTCTGTAACTCAAGTTCTGAATATATAGTCCGTCCGTACATTTAGAGTGGATCCATGAGCGGATCCTTGTGTCAATGAGGTTTTTCCAAGGTTTCTCACTTTTCTCCAACTGGGTTATAGAGTTTTTAATTACCGATGGTCTGTTGGACTGTCAGTGGTCCAACAAGAAGGACTTTCACTGTGGTGATGATCCAGGACATTCTGTGAATGAAAGTGCACTTCATTGTCCCCGTAGGGAAATTTGTCCTCTGCATTTGACCCATCCTGATGCCACTAAGGCTTACGTCAGAAGCAGTGGTCACCGTAGGACAGCGCCCGGGAACCCATCTCCAGATGTTAATGCTCGGCTTGGTCAGAACTACTGGAGCTGGAGGATTTTACCTAGTGAGCATATTTATAGTGGTAGGGGAAACCGGAACACCCGGAGGAAACCTATGCAGACACGGGGAGAACATGCAAACTCCACTCAGAAAGGCCCTGTTCCGACCGGGATTTGAACCCAGGACCTTCTTGCTGAGTATTCTTCTATAATCTACAACATTTATGGACATTTATCAACATTCATATGCTATATTAAATTTAGTTGAATTGAATAGATCAGAGAATCATACTTCGAAGACAGGAAATACAATAATAATAATTATGTGATATTATATTAACTGGATAGGGTATTACTAGCTTGTAGCTGAATAACTCACGTGCTCAGGGGATTCTCGCGGTACTGCAGACTGAACCAGACTAAATTCACGTGGGCCACCCAGAAATTTTCCCCATAGAACTCAATGCATATTAAAACAGCTCAACCTCAGCTGACAGAGAACCTACAGCTTTCATAAAGATCGGATTTTGTGGGGATTTTAGTGTCCCTTGTCATCCTGAACTTTTTTTCTTCTTAAATCCTTTGGTTTTGTTTAAATCCACACTTTAGTGCCACAAACTCTGCTCTTCTGGCTCTCGCTCTAACTCCCGCTTTGAGGAACTGCTCTGATTGGTCAGAGCGCGGCCGAGCCCCTCTGTGCACGTGCGTGAGACCCGGTGTGAGACCCACACACGCGTGTTTGGCGCAACGCATTATGGGAGATCATCCACTGCGCAGAACCGGGAGGACCAGACTATGCCCAAATACAGGCGAGTTTCCCATAGATCTTTGCGAGTTTCAGGCAACTTCCGCTAATCTTTCAGCCCCCATGCCGTCACAAAGCGCCACTGAGCACAACCATTCATTTGAATAGGGCGCCATCTTGGATCGCCGGGGCTTGGTATCCAGAAGATTCTGACGGAATGATAGAATCTCTGGGAACGCACTACATTACCCAGCATGCACAGCCGTTGGGCGTCATCACAACAGGAAGTAGGCGCGGTGAGCTGTGGAAAGGATCGGCGGACAAACATTTAATAAAACAAATCTAAATGTATTTTCTATTTTAATCCGTGATAATGAACCACTCTCCAAACCCGATCCCTGGCAGCTTGAAACATGGCTAAGTCCAAACCGAGGGAACTGTGAAGCTCCAATCCTCCTTCTGCTTCTACCTCCAGCGACGCAGCCCAGTCAGTCCTGTACCCGGTGTATCGCTCACCTCCCTCGGCCTGGACTATGCTTATGTTCCGCCTATAATGGAGCGAGCTATGGAGCAGCTAAACCGCCTGACACGTTCCCTGCGCCGGGCAAGGACCGTCGAGCTCCCGGAAGGTCAGTATGGACCAATGTTGTTGTTAGTTAACTGTTTCAGTTATATTATTGTAGTCAAGAATCAGTGAATTAATTTTGTTTCACATTTTTCGTTCACGAAAATATCCTTTAATTCAGTAAAATCACTAGTACTAGTCCTGTCATAAAAAAATACATAAGATGTATCGATTAGTACCATCGCTATCGAGTCTAGTCACAGTTTGCAAAAGAGAAAACAGTAAAATGTCTTGACATTTCAATGTTTTTTAGATAAAGACAAGCATTCTAGTAGCTGTTAGTCATGTTTTTTAATTTTTTAATTTATGAAAAATGGTAGAATACGTATTACTTAAATAATAAAGTTAAGATCTGGAGAAACTGTTTCCTGACAATTCAATTCATTCTTTATTAAGAACACAGATAGAACTGGTTCATAGATTAAAAAAAAAAAAAAAAAAACAATAATAATAATAATAATAATAATAATAATAAAGAGACAAAAAACATATGTATACAGTAAAATTAAATTAAATTAATATATTTATTATTATTGTTATTATTATTATTATTATTTTTTTTTTTAATCTATGAACCAGTTCTATCTGTGTTCTTAATAAAGAATGAATTGAATTTCCTGAACGTGTCAAAGTCAAACTTATCGGTTCATCTTTTTCAAGTCTATCTATCTTTATGTTTTATGTAAGCACTGTGAAGTCTTAACAAAACCCAATGCTTTAAATCTGTATTTAATAGAGAAAATAAAAAAACATGTACAAACACATACAGTGGTTTACAATGCCTGGACCATGATTAATTAATGAGCCTTAAAATCTTTGGTCCCAGGCTAAGATTTGTCCTTGGATGAGAGTTTGTTAAAGGTCTGGTTTTGGGCTCTAGGATTGAAAAGTGCAAATGTGCATAATTCTTAGTGAGTGTGTTTAGTCTTTTAGGATCACTTGAAACTAAAGTTAGTTATTCTTTTTCTGGATACACACATGCAACACATAATTGTCACTTGACTACTTGGTGCATAAATGGATTTTGTTTCCAGTCTTTATATTGTATTTATTTATCTATTTGAACAGTACTAATACTGCACAAAAACAGTATTTAAGCCATAGGGCAAAAACATTTTTGCCCCATGGCTTAATTTGTGCATATTTTGAAAGCTGTATTGCTGAATCTGATTTACATTGTCAGATTTTAACCTCTATCACAATTATCGTGTGCCTAAATACAACCTTTCCCATTTTTTGTCTGAAGAATGAAATGTTTTAATATGAATTCTCTCCCCACAGACAATGAGACCGCTGTGTACACTCTTATGCCCATGGTCATGGCTGACCAGCACCGGTAAGTTTCTATCCAGTCTGGGCGGCACGGTGGCTGAGTGGATAGCACTCTCGCCTCTCAGCAAGAAGGTCCTGGGTTCGAATCCTGGTCGGACCAGGGCCTTTCTGAGTGGAGTTTGCATGTTCTCCCCGTGTCTGCGTAGGTTTCCTCCGGGTACTCCGGTTTCCCCTACCACTAAAAATATGTCCAATAGTTCTGGCATGCGCCTCCTGTACTGGCGACCCCACTCCCATCTCTGTGTGGAGTGAGAGACAAATGCCCAAAATTAACAATTGTAAACCGCTTTGAGACTCAGATCTGCAGTGAAAAGGCGGTATATAAATAAAAACTTACTTACTTACAGTCTGTGGCCTGCACAATGTTCTTTTATTGTTATTGAGCACAGTAGTACAGTACTTGACTACTGCCATACATTTCTGATTCATGAAGTCTATACTGTTTTTCAAATAAAAATAATCCACATATAGTTGGACGATACTACTTGACATCGCAAAGTGCTGAAGTGTATTTTCTCGGGCTTTAAAAAAGGATCGTTTTTGAAAACTTGTGAACTGTTCCTTCTCCTCCTGTTTGATGCTCCGGTCCTCAGGCTCATCTGGCTCCTGATGCCAGGGGGCCATGCGTGACTTTGGGTAACATGCTTAACGTGCTAAAACAGGATTCCACATCCTCCGTCACTGCTTTGTTATGTTCCACATCCCCCGCTTCCACGCAGCTCAGTCCCAGATCCGCCACTTTGGCGGCCTCCGAAAGTTTGCACTGAGGATCTCCGCCTGCGTTAGTTCAATCACCACAGTTCAGCTCCCAACAGGAAAACATCACGAATATTTTTTTTTTTTTTTTTTAATTCAGTGATTTAGTGCACTGTGGCTTTGATATTCAGAATCAAATGTGAATTCTGCCCCTGTCACTCAAATGCGTAGAGATCAAACTCATTCCCCCCGTAGCAGATCAAGGCCTGGCCATAGGTGCAGTCTATTACATCTTGAGATCCATCCCAGCACATGCACCCATTCACAGATACCGTTGCAATTACAATAACAGTCTCAATATACTATATATCTGAGTTGAGACTATTTCTGTCAAGTGCACTTCAATTGAACCACCACCAAAGTTACACTGATGCAGTATTCACATAAGTCAGTTGCCTTCTTTTGAAACATTTTGACGTTATAACAATTTTTCCATTTGCTTCTACAGCGAACCAAAGTAAAGTGAATGGACACAATAAATAAAAAATGTCCAAAATAAAAATATGTCTCAAGTAGGAGTTTAGAATTAGATGTTTGAGTATTTAAGTGCTGTGTCTCAATCCAGATTGTTTTATTGCTTCTCCAGGATTTATCTTGCTTTTCTGTCTTCTTCAGGTCTGTATCAGAACTGCTCGTCAACTCCAAGTTTGATGTGAACTACGCTTTTGGACGTGTCAAAAGAAGTCTGCTGCACATCGCTGCCAAGTAGAGCTTTATTTTTTTGTTTGCAACAGCTTATATTACATGTGAAGGCCGTAAAAGGCTATTGTCTATTATTGTTTACCTGCTCCATTTAAAGGGATCTTTACATGTAAGAAATAGTTTCAGCCTCACCATATCCTCTTTCACTTGTATTACTGTTAGCATTAAAACAACAAAAATAGGTGGAACTATCCGTTATTCATCTGTCTTTTCTTTTCTGTCTTCTGCAGCTGTGGGTCAGTGGAGTGTCTCGTCCTCTTGTTAAAAAGAGGCGCAAACCCAAACTATCAGGACATCTCAGGCTGCACTCCTCTGCATCTCGCTGCCAGGAACGGGTATGATGCGTTTCCATTGATTTGATGCATGCTCAGACATTGTGCACTGTCACTGTTTACATGCTGATTATATTACCTTGATATCAACTTCTCTGCAACTAAATATTATCATCACTTCTTTAATATTTGTCTTTGAAATGAGATGCTTCCTCCAGAAACTCTATGTTAAGATTTATAATGAAAATGTTTTGTAATATTTACCTCTGCCCAATCCAAATCTACGACTGCTTTTCTCGTTTATACTTGTTTTAACATAATTCTTTTGCCTGTATTAATGCTGAGAACAGCCTGATTACAGTAAAAAGAAGTTGGGGAAGCGGTGAACTAACGTAGCCCTCTTGCTAAAAAGTTTGGACACACAATCTAAGGACGCAGGGTTCGTCCGGATATTTATCAATTTGTGATCATTCATCTTTCTGTTTTGTTCTGTTTTAATTTTTTGATTTTCTTGCCGTTACGATTTTAGGCTGTATTATTTAATGTTATTATTTTGATTTGGTCTCAGGCAGAAGAAGTGCATGGGAAAACTGCTGGAGTACAATGCTGACGTCAACATATGCAACAATGAGGGGCTCACCGCTGTAAGCCACACAACTACAGCTACACACAGTCAGATCAGATTTTTTTGTTCGCCTGATCTCCGGGGAGGGATTTCAAGATTAGTTAAATTAGGTCAAATAACACAATGAGCAAATCACATACAGTAAACCACACTACAGTGGATTAAGCATGTATTTTATATTCTATTCTATTCTATTCAGTCATGGGGACCACAAGTTGATTTCACTTATGCTTTGTTAAGATACAATAACATTTTTATTGATCTCACAAAAATGTACATGGAATGGAGAAATGTACATGTTGCATTTAGCCTGAATAGGATCACTCAGGGTATGCAAAAAGACCGAAAATGTGCATGTTAAAAAAGTGAAATAATATCTTATGTGCAATAAAGTTATCTTATGTATAATTAAGAAGTGCAAGTGTTAGTGCAGGTCAGAAAACTCGTGCTGCTATAGACACTTTTTAATTTGATATTTTTTCTTTGGATTTTTATGAATAAGATGTTAGATGACCCTTGCTATATGAGAACTGAGTGGTCTGCTGTCCGTGCTGTCAGATCCACTGGTTGGCGGTGAACGGTCGCACTGAGCTGCTCCATGACCTGGTGCAGCACGTTTCCAATGTGGACGTGGAGGACGCCATGGGACAGACGGCTCTGCACGTGGCCTGCCAAAACGGACACAAAACCGTAAGACCCATAAGTTATGTTCAAACTCGAATAGTGTAATATTCTCAGAAAGGAGAGTGGGTTGGTTTATTCAAGCTTTACCCGATCTTAGTATGGAGTTATAAACATGTTATATATATCTTTCCAGACAGTGTTGTGTCTGCTGGATAGTGGAGCGGACATCAATCGGCCAAACGTCTCTGGAGCCACGCCCCTTTACTTTGCCTGCAGGTCTGTATATTAACGCCCGCAGTCACAGTCCTCTGCTGGTGGATCATCAGTTTTAAAAAAGGTTTATGTCTCGTTAGTCACGGCCAAAGAGACACTGCCCAGATCCTCCTCTCTCGCAGTGCCAAATATCTCGCTGACAAGAATGGAGTCACACCCCTGGATCTGTGTGTTCAGGTGAGCTGGGAACTAAAGCTGTTTCTATCAACTCTCCTCTTTCCGTGTGAAGATGGGTGATGTGTATTAATAGCAATTAGGATATACATTTCTCATATGCTTTGTTGCTTCTGTATACAGCAGTGTATTTTTTTCGTTTCTTCACTGCAAAGGTTCATCAATGGGCATTGTCACAAAATATACAAAATATGAATGAGAAATATGGCTCTAACTGTTCTTTTTCAGGGGGGATATGGAGAGACATCTGAGATCCTAATCCAGTACCACAGCCGGCTGTTCCTGGCGCTGATTCAGATGACTCAAAACGACGATATCAAAGAAAACATGGTACAGGCATCTCGTGTAACCACTGTGTATTGTAGTCTATTTGTTATGCGCCCTAACTGGTTAGGGCGCATAACACAGTTTAGTCCTTTTCACAACTTTTTGAAACCACAGCAGTGGGATGGTCATGACAAACTTACTAGAGAAGCCACATTATAATGTCTCTCCTGGCTTTAAAAGACTTAGGTTTTAAAAGTACTAAAAGGGTTAGGGCAGGGGTGTCAAACTCATTTTTGGCGGGGCAAATGAGTTTCGGGCCAAAAGTATTTTTTTTCTTTACATATTTTTGTATTTTGATAACTTTATTATATTTGATATGAGTTTGGATATTAATTTCCAACATGTTTGGATTAAATCTCAACTGGGTCAAATATAGCCTGGCTTTTGCCATCCGTAAACTCCAGTCAATTATTATTTCCCTAGTTGTACGAAATAACATGTACAATGGTGTGGTAAGACCAGGCTAGGTCACTATAATGAAGAGATATAAGTGAAGATTCATAGTTAGATATAAAAAGATAAAATCTTTGGGCTAAGTTAACTTCTAATTCAAGAACAGGTTCAATTATTGGGTTGTTTTACCGAGAAAATTAGCTTTAAAATGGAGTATAACATGCCATAGTATCTCAGTATCATCAGAGCTGCAAGTTACTGTAAACATAATAATTTAACTTTTAACATTTCATGGTCTCTCGTGCTGAATTTGGCCTTCGGGCCTGAGTTTGACATGCCTGGGTTAGGGTTTGTTCTGTCTATATCATCAAGAGGGTAGCGACACTGGTGTTAAACAAATCTATCTGAACCATGCACATATTTTGTATTTTAAATGAGGGTCTAACTGGTGTAACACCCTGCCCCAGCTGCGGCAGGTCCTGGAGCACCTGTCCCAGCAGAGCGACTCTAACTATCAGAGGATTCTCATCAGTCTGGCTGAAGTGGCCACCACCAACGGACACAAGCTGCTCAGGTACATGCACAGGACGCCCCGTTCACAGCAGCTCAGCTCAGGCGTATGCATTGAGTGGGCCCGTCAGGTGTCAAACATCAGGGAAAAAAGCAATTGCAACATCAAACATTAAAGCTGGAGTACCTTACTTTGAAACCACAAGAGAAAATATACTACTCTACTTCTCACATGCATGTATTTTTGGCCTCTGTCACCTATTTAGATCTAATTTTTCAGACAGAAAAGTGAAAAAGAGAGGACCACCCTCAGCACTTACAGTAGTATGTTAAAGATGAAATGTTTGTAATTAAAAGAAAACGGTATGTTTTTGTCTGATTCAATGAACAAAATGTATTCATGAAACCAAATGAAAGTTAGCTACTCCAGCTTTATCTGTATTCAACATTTATGATTTATTTATGGTTGGCAATGTGGCACAGCGGTAAGCTTGTTCTTCACCGCAAGAAGGTACGTGGTTTGATTCCACCTCCAGCCCTTTCTGTGTGGAGTTTGCATGTTATCCCCGTGTCTGTGTAGGTTTCCTCCGGGTGCTCGTGTTTCCCATACCATTAAGAACATGTGCTTTATTTCAGGGTGAATGAGTGTGTGTGTTTGTGAATGTGAATGTTGCATTTCTCTTAAAAATATTGGTTCAATCAGTTCAATAACAACTAATGTGAGTGAGGTGCCTTGTCAAAAGACCTAGAAATGGGACTCGACAAGATATGATATCAACAGTATTAGTCTCATTAATCCTGTTTTAAATACAGTATCTAACTCATAGACCTAATCTGTTGAAGGTCTGTTTAATACAATTTGGATTTATTAAATTTAATTTATGTAAAGAAATGAATTACAGAGGAAATGACATTATCGGTTTACCTTGTATTTCTGCCACGTCTCTTTCTGTGTCAGTTTGTCCAGCAGTTATGAGGCTCAGATGAAGAGTTTGCTGAGAATCGTCCGTATTTTCTGCCACGTGTTTCGTCTCGGACCCTCGTCTCCGAACAACGGCAACGACATGGGCTACAACGGCAACAAAACACCCAGAAGTCAGGTGTTTAAGGTCCGTACCACCGTCAGCATTTGTACAGGCAGTACATTACCACTGAAAGCTCCCATCTTACGCTACATGCCACGCTCCTGCCCCAGGGATATTTGGATAATGTCTCAAATGACTTCGTAAAACAAGACATTTTAATAGTGGTGCAAAGCATAAAATGGGAGTTTTTCCGTTTCATTGTCCATTGTCTCCATGCAAACGTGCTGTGATGGGTTTCAGATGCGAGCAAAGCCACTGGAGAGAGAGGAGAATGTGTTCCCAGGCTCTGCAGCTTTAGATGTGAGGATTTATACAGACTAAAAACTACTGCATGACAAACTGACCAACATTGATCATGTTAGAATCAATTTATCTGGCGTCGTTTGTTTTACTGAGATTGGTGGTGATGTTGTGATTCGCTTTGGCACTAACTCATTTCTTGCATAATTAAAAGTGATGAAATAAATATACATTTACGTTTAGGAATACGGAGCGACAATCTGAAAAGTGTGCGTGCGTGTGTGTGTGTGTGTGTGTGTGTTTGCGTTTACTTCTTAACACTAGGACTCCCAGAATTCTGAAACTACCAGAACTCCCAGAGCAGCCATTTTGACGGCTCCCATTCAAATCAATGCAACCATTCTAATTTTATATTTGTTTTATTAAATTAATTAAGTAATTAATGTATACAGGTTTAACCAGGTTTAGCACCTTTCCCCCAATTAGATAGAAATAAACTACATGGAGAAGTTAAGACCAAGAATTTACATCAGCTAAAAAAAATCACGCTTCCAAAACTAAAAGCCGTCAAATTGAATGTTCTGAGTTCTAGTTAAAGTCGTTACGTCATTTAAATGGTGGAGGGTTCACCTGCCAGGATGTTAAACGTTTTTTAAATTTACATTCAGAGGATTAATTGTAACGAAAATAATAAGTCACTCACGGATGCAAAACATAAATTTGGTGTAATTTATTTATTATTTCATCTGTACTTTCATCATGATATCATTGTAACTTTTTTGCCTGTAGACTACTGCACAGGACAGTGTAAAATAGAGAAGAACAGTGAGGACAAATTGCTGCCACCGATATTAAAACTGGAAAGTAACCATAAGGTGTTGTTTAGAGAAATATGGCAGATTTATGTACTAAAAGGTGAATCTCAAAGTAATAAAAACTGTTAATTTAAGATCTTGGAACCAAATACAGTTCCATTCCTTAACAGTTCCATTTTTCTGTTCCCTGTATTAAATCACTCATCTAGGTTTAACATTATATACATAATATACAGCTGTATACATTCAGATTCAGATTCAATTTATTTGCCATTTGTAGTAAAAAAAACACATTGGAATACATTAGCAAAAAGTCACCAGTGTGCACAGACAAATGCAGACATAACACAACAGTAAAAGTACAGACGATGACGTGAAGTGCGGTTATACAACAAAAATAATCATATAGATTATATCAAAAGGCCCTACAGAGCGGCTTCTTTACAATTTGTTTGGCTACAGCTCAAACAAAGTATGTAAAAAGCTCACTTCTAATGGAATCGGATGCAACTTAATCCTGGGCTCATGATTGCCCCCGACCCTGACGTAATTTATCACGAATCCTCTCAACTGTAGACATGTTGATTGAAAAGAAAATATGTTTGAACTTTTTAAGCCGATATAAACAAAGAAAACAGATCGATAGCACGGCACAAGCTTCTCACACTGTGAGCTATGGGCTTTTACGTCTCCCAAGAGAGGCTCGCCTCACAGCGCGCCGCTCTGTCAAATATGAGAAGAATATGATACAAATCTGCCATTTCAAGGTAAAAATTAATGAAATAAGGCAAAGTTACATTGAAATAGCACAATAGCACAAACCACTTGATACAGTGACCAAATATTATTGTTTCAATTTTATTATTGTTTTCTCTCCATGATTGCAGGTGAGGCTGGGCCTCCCCTGATCGCACGTGTTCCTTGCTACCATCCAAAACGTAATATAGGCATGGAAAGTTAATTTTTTTTTGTTTTATACAAAAGGCAACCCAAAGTGCTTTAGAAAACAAGAAAGAAAACATTAAAAATCAAGTAACATTCAAATCATAAACGGATACAAAATGAATAATAATCACAGTACAGAGTGTCTGGATACAATCTATCAGTAGTGTTAACAGTTAAAGAGAACAGATCATAACAGAACATTACAGAAAGCCATATAATAAACTCTGACGTTGATAATGATTGTGTTTTGATTTGCTGCTCTTTCTCCCGTTGTTTCCCGTCAGCCTCTGGAGCTGCTGTGGCACTCCCTGGACGAGTGGCTGGTGCTGATCTCCACCGAACTGGACCGAACCAAGACGGACCCCCCGGGCTGCTCCTCCCCTGGCAGCGAGATTGCCTCCCTACTCCTCAAACAAAGGGACGCCTCCGTGGCCACCCTAGATCAATCGGCGGTCCCCTCTGCTGAGCCTGACCCCGCCCCCAAACTGCCCCCGTCGCTGGTCATGGAGGCGGGAGGCGAAGACGTGATTTCGATGACGGCGAACAGACTGAGCGCAGTCATACAGGCCTTTTACATGTGCTGCTCCTGCCAGATGCCACAGGGGTGAGTGACAAATCCAAGCAGCAGAGCAAAGAAGAAATATGATTGTATTTGTATTGTATATAATTGTTTTTGACCATTCAAAATGTTAATGAGACTTTTTTTTACCTAATTCGTTTCATGTTTGATAATATACAGTATATGGTGAAACATGAGTCAAGACTAAAAAATGCTGACTCCCACCAGTATTTACTTTTTCAATGTTTTTCTTTTCTTTTTTTTATGTCAGAAAACGGTTGTGTGCGTGATGTAATCGCAATACAATAACATCAAATCTTCACAGGTTTGAGACAGGAACTTATAAATAGAGGGTTGCATGCAAAAACAACTCCAGTTTTTTATCTTATGAGGGAACAATATAACCTAGTAAAAGCTCAAAAATGTTGCGTTGGCATCATATGTCCCCATTAGTTTGGATTAAGTTGACCAGTACTGCAGTAGTGAATAATGTATAGAAACATGGGTAATTACTATCTGTTTCTCCATATGTTATAATTATAGTAGTGAAGCCTCTGGAGGACTAATACAACCTTAACAAAAACAGCGTTCAAAGTCTGCCTTAGGAGAGATCACAAAACTGCTCAAAAATTGACTAATTGACTAAAAACCACATTTTAATTCCAGAATGACGTCTCCTCGCTTCATAGAGTTTGTGTGTAAACATGACGAGGTGCTCAAATGTTTTGTAACCAGGTGAGTCCAAATACAACCTTTTACTACTTGCAAAACGGCCTAATTCACTTTTTCTTTCCACTGGATTGTCTTTTTCTGTCATCATCGCTGTTAAAGGAATCCAAAGATCATTTTCAACCACTTCCACTTCCTGCTGGAGTGTCCTGAGCTCATGTCTCGCTTCATGCACATCATCAAAGGGCAGGTGAGTAGCTACAAACTATCTCCTGCATATGTGAGCGAGAAACATTTAGTCTCATTGTTAATACTATGTTATATGTTTATTTTTTGTGTTCATTTATGGAATCATTTTGTCCTTGAAAAAATGATTGAAAAGAAAAGGACATTTTTTTTTGGTGTGGAAATAACAGTATAAATGGTTGTCGACCAACCAGTGACTGATTGGTTAGCACTCTCACGTCTCAGCAAGAAGGTCCTGGTTTCTAATCCCAGTAAGAGATTAACAAGGTTAATCTGAGTGGAGTTTGCATGTTCTTCCAGTGACTGACTAGGTCTCATCCGGGTGAGCTAGTTTCCACTACCACTAAAAACATGTACAATGGGTAAAAATCCTCAAGCTCTGGTTAATACTGGAGGCTAACATGTTTCACTACCTTTTTCTCATAAATGTTTTTGTGTGACAACCATCACCAAAGAAATTGAAGAGCTCTGTAGAAAGTTACTATTATGCTGTTCGTCAAAGAAATTGTCGTTTGATTATTTATGTGTATCGTGCATTCATTCTAGGATCTGTTCATTCATTCTTTGTAAAAACTTAAACTCAAAACAAATTGTTAATATGAACAGCCCCAGCACCCTCTTGTCGATCATAGTGTTGGCAACTTACATGGAAGATCAGACACATTAATTTAATATGTTTTGAAATATTGTTTCAAATATTTTTTTTCCTCAGCCCTTCAAAGATCGCTGTGAGTGGTTTTACGAGCACCTTCTGGCCGGACAGCCCGACTCAGACATGGTGCACCGACCGGTCAACGAGAACGACATTCTGCTCATTCACAGAGGTAATATTAAATACATAGTCATGTGTGTAATTTTTAAAAATACCTAAACGTATAATGTGGTTAAGTTTTAAGACCGCCGTTAATAATAATGATTTATTTTTCCAGAGTCAATCTTCAGGAGCAGTTGTGAAATGGTTTCCAAATCAACCAATGAGAAGTTGAAGCAGGGTATTGCTGTGCGTTTCCATGGAGAGGAGGGAATGGTGTGTATTTGATTGAAGAAACACTTTACAATTGTTACAAAATGTTTGTAAACTTGGATGTGTTGTGGATTAACTTTGCCAAATCTGGTTTAGGCCTCTAGAAGAGACATTAAAACCCTTCTTGTTTAAGCAAGCCTTTTTGGATGTTTCCATTTTTTAGTTTACTTTTTTCTTTGTTGTCTTGAATTTTCATCTGTAACACTTTCATGGACCCTAACCCGTCTGGTCTGGTCAAGTCATAAAAAGTGTATATTTTATTGTATCTGTTTATTTGGATGGGACAGTGTGTCTTGATGAACAGCAGGAGCTGTAAATACTTCAGATAGTAGCTTTGGAGCTCATTTCCATCTGTCGTCCCATAGTCACACTCACAAACACACACTCATTCAACCCTCACCTATTGTACATGTAGGAAGGAAAAATATACGCAGATACAGGGAGAACATTCAAACGCCATACAGAAAGGTCCTGGAGGTAGAATCAAACTCTGAACTTTCTCGTTGTGAAGCACAAGTGCAATCCACTGCGCCACTGTGTATGCTGCACGTTATTCTAACAGATGCCTCCCAGTCGATACCAGACGCAGTTTCAAGTGCACAGGGATATAAACAGTGCTCATTTATGTACGCTTCAGTGACATATATATCTTTATGGGTTATCCGAGTCCTCTGTCTATATAATCCTCTGATGTTGTGTGTCTCGTCCAGGGCCAGGGTGTGGTGAGGGAGTGGTTTGACGTTTTGTCCGGTGAAATCATCAACCCAGACTACGCTCTGTTCACTCAGTCTGCTGATGGTACGTTTTATCGCATTTAGAAATAAGCAATAAGTGATGAAGTTGGTATTCATGATTTAAGATGCAGAGATCCTGTTATCGTCCCACTGTGGGGAAATTTCAGTGCTGCCTCACAAGTTACAGAATAGTAAGAATGAGGAGGACACAACACAAGATAGTGAATATTAAATACAGCACTATACGCAAGTACAACTCCATACTTGAAAAAATTAAATAAAATGTCTATCTTTAGCTTAATAAATAAACAAAGTATAAAAAGTATACGCATAGACTAGGCTCTTACTAGGCAACGAGGGTGAAGTTTTTTGCCTAAGAACACAACAATCTCAGCTTGATCTGAAGTGTGTTTATGAATAGTCTGTTTATTCTTTTTTTATGGAACTGACATGTATGTGTACTAGTTTTGTTGTATGTTTTAATTGTGAAGCGCTTTGTGATCCTGGTCTGTGAAAGGCGACTTTACCTTCTTACTTGCTTACAAAAGTTTGGCACTTTACTGCAGCACCTCTCAGGTCTCCCATTACAGTACTACCCAGGTCCTGCCATGCTTAGCTTCTGCGATGGGATCAGGCTTTCACATGCAGGTGGCAATTAATGAATAAATGAATGAATGAATGAGTCTTTATTCGGACAATACAAAATAAGATTAAAAAAATAAAATAAAAACCTATACTTGTACAATGTATGTTAAATTTGTTCCCTCAAGCAATAGATAAAATAAACAATCATGTCCGAAAGGGAGCAGGAAGTAGTACAATACTTATGTAATCCCCGGCCCCTTAATGATCGTTTTGTCATTTCTATGCAATGATTAAACTGCGAGACATTTGAACGGTGTGAGGTGATAATGGCGCTCCTCTGGCCGCAGGCTCCACGTTCCAGCCCAACAGTAACTCGTCGGTGAACCCGGACCATCTCAACTACTTCCGGTTCGCGGGGCAGGTCCTGAGTCTGGCTCTGTACCACCGGCAGCTCGTCAACATCTACTTCACACGCTCCTTCTACAAGCACATATTAGGTCTGAGCCACTCTCACCATTATCAGTAATTTTTTTTTATTATTATTTTTACTTTTCTTTCATTATTCTTAGCTATGGATCCTGTGCTTGCATGTGAGTCCTTAATAAAGTATAAATAAAAATAAATAAATAAAATATCACAGTTTTGTTTGAGTCTCGGGAAACAAAAGGGAAAAAGCGATCTGACCTATTGTGAGAAGATAGGGTTATTTTAGTAGTAGAACTGGTAGTAGAAGTTATTTCAAACGTTATGCAAAGAAAACAATTTAAACAATGTGCAAGTAAATAAAAACAGGACACAGAACAAACACAAATAAAATGTTTGAAAAGGAGGCTGGACGAAGCAGACGCTTATTTTTCTCCAACCCCTCACTCATTCAACATACAATTAGCCAATCACACACGCAACACAATCACAAATGCTCACACACAACACAATCACAACACGACACAGGCCTAAACACTCTCTGACCACACACCTCCCTCCCTCTATGCTGAAGTCCTCACTCCTCCACATACTTCTTCAGCACTTCTTTATTGAGCAGCTTTTTGAAATGTATCAGATTTGAACATGTTTTTAATGAATCTGTCAGGTTGTTCCACAGAGTCACTCCTCGCACAGACACACACATCGATTTTAAAGTAGTTCAACATTTAGGCTTATATAAGTTTTGGCTTCCTCTTAAACTGTAGCTGTGGTGAGCATCTCTGTCATGAAATAGGTTTTGCACATGAGGTGGCAGAGAGTTTTCAGAGGCTCTGAACATTATCTGAGCAGTTTTAAAGTAAATCAGGTCCTTTTAATTCTATAAAAAGTGGATTAGAATGATGTCTGTAGTGGACATTAGACACAGTCCTAATGGCCTTTTTTTGTAACGAGATTAAAGGCTGTAAATGGGATTGGTAACAGTTTCCCCAAACTTCAGCACAGTAATTAAGATATGACAGAATGAAGGAATGATACAATAAAAGTAGAGCATTAGTGTTCAGTGAATGACTGGATCTTTTCATCATTCCAACACATTTTGCCACTTTTGTCCGAAGGTAGCTGATGTGGGGTTTTCACGAAATCTTTTCATCCAATACCACTCCTAAAAACACATTTTGTTTCACTTTCTCGATAGATACATCATCAATAATTATCCTGACCGGTGTGTTAATTTTACGATTCCCAAAAAGCATTAGCTAACCCTAACCCTAACCCTAAACCTTTTTTAAGTTAAGTGACAATTTATTTTTATTTAACCAAGTTTTTAATTTCTTCAGTTCCGCAGTTACAGAGGACAACAGCTGCTCCAAGTTCTCACCTGAACATATAATATTTTTGTTGTCTGCAAAGAGAACACATTTCATCACTTTTTATATTTTACATAGTTCATTAATGTACATTATAAATAGTGTTTGGTAAATCTGTTTGGCCTGAACCCGTATTGACTCTCAGAGAGTAAATTATGCTTTTCAATGAATCCACGAAGTGTCATGTCAAACAGTTTTTCTAATATTTTAGAAAACCGCGGCAGAAGAGAGACAGGTCTGTAATTGGTGAAACAATGTTTGTCTCCTGCTTTGAAAATTTGGATTACTTCGGCCATTTTCATTTTGGAAGGAAAGTTACAATAAAGTTAAAGTTACAATTCTGCAAAAAATACGTCTCCTAACAGATTTATTTAGCTAAATCTTTTGGATGGTTGAGAAAGGAAAGGGAGATACTGGAACTGTAAATAGTAAATCCAACTCTCAATCCACAAAAAAATAATCTTTGATAAATTTGATCAAATCTATCAAAATATCACTTCTTTCAAGTTTCTTTTAACTTTATCTTTAGCTGTGTTTGTGCATTTGTGAGCAAGGGACTAATTCACAATTATCTTCAGGATAAATAAAGTATTTATCTATCTCTATCTTATTTTTCGTCAAAACAATTAGGAAGGTCTGAATAACTGAGGATTAAACTTGAACAGCTGCAAATGAAAATGTAATAAAATGGATAAAATAACCAATCCTGTTTTTGACCAAAATTATATTTATATTATATCTACAGTGCCTTGCGAAAGTATTCGGCCCCCTTGAACCTTTCAAAATTTCGCCACATTTCAGGCTTCAAACATAAAGATATAAAAAATATTTTTTTTGTCAAAAATCAACAACAAGTGGGACACAATCGTGAAGTGGAACAAAATTTATTGGATAATTTAAACTTTTTTAACAAATAAAAAACTGAAAAGTGGGGCGTGCAATATTATTCGGCTTTCCCTTTACTTTCAGTGCAGCAAACTCACTCCAGAAGTTCAGTGAGGATCTTTGGTCGCTTGGGGTATGTCTCTATCAGTTTTGCACATCGAGAGACTGGAATTTTTGCCCATTCTTCCTTGCAAAACAGCTCGAGCTCAGTGAGGTTGGATGGAGAGCGTTTGTGAACAGCAGTCTTCAGCTCTTTCCACAGATTCTCGATTGGATTCAGGTCTGGACTTTGACTTGGCCATTCTAACACCTGGATACGTCTATTTGTGAGCCATTCCATTGTAGATTTGGCTTTATGTTTTGGATCATTGTCCTGTTGGAAGATAAATCTCCGTCCCAGTCTCAGGTCTTTTGCAGACTCCAACAGGTTTTCTTCCAGAATGGTCCTGTATTTGGCTCCATCCAATTAGCCATCTTCCCTGTCCCTGCTGAAGAAAATCAGGCCCAAACCATGATGCTGCCACCACCATGTTTGACAGTGGGGATGGTGTGTTCAGGGTGATGAGCTGTGTTGATTTTACGCCAAACATATCGTTTTGCATTGTGGCCAAAAAGTTCGATTTTGGTTTCATCTGACCAGAGCACCTTCTTCCACATGTTTGGTGTGTCTCCCAGGTGGCTTGTGGCAAACTTTAAATGAGACTTTTTATGGATATCTTTGAGAAATGGCTTTCTTCTTGCCACTCTTCCATAAAGGCCAGATTTGTGCAGTGCACGACTGATTGTTGTCCTATGGACAGACTCTCCCACCTCAGCTGTAGTTATCTGCAGTTCATCCAGAGTGACCATGGGCCTCTTGGCTGCATCTCTGATCAGTCTTCTCCTTGTTTGAGATGAAAGTTTGGAGGGACGGCCGGGTCTTGGTAGATTTGCAGTGGTCTGATACTTCTTCCATTTCAATATAATTGCTTGCACAGTGCTCCTTGAGATGTTTAAAGCTTGGGAAATCTTTTTGTATCCAAATCCGACTTTAAACTTCTCCACAACAGTATCTCGGACCTGCCTGGTGTGTTCCTTTGTCTTCATGGTTCTCTCTGCACTTTAAACAAAACCCTGAGACTATCAAAGAGCAGGTGCATTTATACGGAGACTTGATTACACACAGGTGCATTCTATTTATCATCATCAGTCATTTAGGACAACATTGGATCATTCAAAGATCCTCACTGAACTTCTGGAGTGAGTTTGCTGCACTGAAAGTAAAGGGGCCGAATAATATTGCACGCCCCACTTTTCAGTTTTTTATTTGTTAAAAAAGTTTAAATTATCCAATAAAATTTGTTCCACTTCACGATTGTGTCCCACTTGTTGTTGATTCATGACAAAAAATTTAAATTTTATATCTTTATGTTTGAAGCCTGAAATGTGGCGAACAACATGAAAGGTTCAAGGGGGCCGAATACTTTCGCAAGGCACTGTATATTAACTTAGCAGGTAACAACCACTTTAATACAATATACATTTGGTTCCAGACCTTTAATAATTTCGTTCTTTCTTTATGCCAAGCAGGTATTCCAGTGAACTACCAGGACGTCTCCTCCATCGACCCGGAGTACGGCAAGAACCTGCAGTGGATCCTGGACAACGACATCAGTGACTTGGGCCTGGAGCTCAGCTTTTCTGTGGAGACTGATGTGTTCGGGGCCATGGAGGAGGTGCCCCTCAAACCCGGGGGCCTCGGTATCCTGGTCACACAGGAAAACAAGGTAATGGACCTGGACTGCAACTGGAGCAGACACTGAGCATTTATGACAGGGGTTCCCAAACTTTTATTTTGGATGGGAAGCACCAAAATAATCACAATCCCAACTCATTACCCACCGTATAAGAAATGTATTATCAAAATATTTTGAAGCCATACGATTTGTTAAACTAACTGTAATGTTGCCTGTTTGTGTCGTTTGCAGATTTAGTTACACGTTTGTTATAGATTCCCTCATTTGCCCATTGTGATGTGGAGTGATGAAAGCATGTGAAATGTGTAATTTTATGAGATTATAATAGCTTTAACCCCTGTTAATTATGTGTTTCCTTAATCTGGTGATAACAATAATAATACATTTTATTTCCACGAGATTGAGATACTGTATAACGGAGAATCAAGCCAAATGTCTTCTTCAAAGTATGTGGAGATAGTGCTGGAACTCCCGCCTCTCTGGAAAAGAAATGTTTTTCGACTTAGCCACTCTAGTCTTTTTGATCCTGATTGAGGTGATTCTAGTTTTATTTTGATCCTCTCTTGTCTTTTGCCAAGTGTTGCCACTTCTCAGCGACGCACATGGACTTGCAGCTCCTCTATTTTCGCCAAAATTGAAAAGAACCGGCTATCATCTTTGCACGTACCCCCTGCTGTTGGCTCGCACAGAAAAGAGGATGTGTGATTGGTGCAGAGCTCAATGATCAACAGTGACATAGTGATTTAGGCCAATTATTTTCATACACGTTACATATTTTTAATGGGGCAAACATCTCCCTAAATATCTTCAATGCAACAGTTAAAATGTTTTAATCCCTAGTAGTAGTAGTAGTAGTAGTAGTAGTAGTAGTAGTAGTAGTAGTAGTAGTAGTAGTAGTAGTAGTAGTAGTAGTAGTAGTAGTAGTATCCAATATTTTCACTGCTGTTCTGTAGCATTAATGACCAGCCCAAGTACCTTCTCAAAAATGTATCTATAACTGCTCCACAGTGAACAATTGATCCAAGGCCAGCTTCTACCTCCTATAGGCCTAATTAGACAGTGCTGTGCCGCCGGCAGCCACTAGAGGCCAGTGTAATGTCAAGTACGGAGCAACTGGAGGTTGCACTAATCTCTCCTTGGTCCATTTCATCTATTTGTATTTTTTCAAATGGGACAGAATCAATGAATCAATAATGTATTCATTGACTGTAGTTTTCCCACTGTGGGACTAATAAAAGTATTTATTCATTACTTCATGGCACGGCGGCTGAGTGGGCAGTGCTCACGCCTCACAGCAAGAAGGCTGTGAGTTCCATCCTGCGCTGGCCTGAGTCTGTGTGGAGTTTGATGGTTCTCACTGTCTGAGCCTGTTTCCTTGTACAGATGTACACACAACTATATATTACTTGCATTAGAATATACAGCATTTTATATTTGCTCCTTATTATGCTAAAGTCAGGAGTTTTTGTTGCTTCTTTATCATGTTAAAGTTTGAGATTTATCTTTTTTTTTCAGTATAGAGCTATTCATGTATCTTGTGCTGTGTGCTTCTCATTCCTACTGTTCTGTAACTTGCAATGCAACACTGACATTTCCCCACTGTGGGACAAATAAAGGATCTCTTAATCTTAATCTTCCTTTGCCCCATTTCCCCCACCAATTTAAAATGTAGTGTGTGAAGAATGTGTGAGGACTAATCTTGGACTGCTGCAAATTGTTTTTAAGAGTAAAAATCTGGGACAGGTCTGTTAAACCTGATGTGCTAATACAGATGTGTGTTCTGTTCTCAGGCAGAGTACGTGCAGCTGGTGACGGAGCTGAGGATGACCAGAGCCATCCAGCCCCAGATCAATGCCTTCCTGCAGGGCTTCCACACCTTCATCCCTCCCTCACTCATCCAGATCTTCGACGAGTATGAACTGGTGAGCCACAAAATATCAAGAATCAAGTGCGCCCGTGTATATTTGATTAACCTTAAGGTTTATGACGAATAAAACCGATTCCGACTCCAAATTCACTCCCAAATCTGCAACTCATTCTAAGGCCTGCCCAGTGGTTCTTCACATTGTCAATAGAATAATTAGTAGTATAAGAGATTAGTTAAAATGTTAGTGAACTCAGACATGTTTTTCAATTAATGAATTCACATAATCATGTTTGATAAGTTTTCATGCTGGAGTATGGTGAGTAAATGAAATGAGAGATACATATGAAATCATCAAACTATTAATTAAATTGAAACTAAACTGTTGGACTGAATAATGTTTTCGGTAAAATCTGAAAACAATTTTTTTAGATTTTTTTCCTAAGTTTCTAACCTAAACTTAAACTAGGGGCACAAGTGTCCCTAATTTTTCCCCTCATGTTTTATTTATTTATGTATTTATTTAGAGGATAAGCCCCTTGAGATGAATCATCTCGTTTATGAGGGGGTCCTCAAGATTTTCATAAGGTGACAGATACAGCAGAACAGATACAAATAAAACAAAAACACAAGAAAATAAATTTAAAAGAAAATAAAATAGATAAAAAGAAAAAGATAAAAAGCAACCATAAAAAATACACACACATAAGCCCTCATATTGGGCGGCACGGTGGCTGAGTGGATAGCACTCTCGCCTCTCAGCAAGAAGGTCCTTGGTTCGAATCCCGGCCGGACAAGGGCCTTTCTGAGTGGAGTTTGCATGTTCTCCCCGTGTCTGCGTAGGTTTCCTCCGGGTACTCCGGTTTCCCCTACCACTAAAAATATGTACAATAGGTCTGGCATGCGCCTCCTGTTCGGCGACCCCGCTCCCATCTCTGTGTGGAGTGAGAGGACAAGTGCCCAAAAATAACAATTGTAAACCGCTTTGTGACTCTGGTCTGTAAAAGGCGGTATATAAATAAAGATTACTTACTTACTTACTCAAGCACTCCCACTCATTCACACACACGCGTGACTGTACTGTAGTTACACTAAATAAGGATAATATTATTAATATTAATAGTATATTAGTAATAATAATAATAAGGAGACAGTAAAGACAAGTTTAGGTCTCATAACCTAAGATCAAAAACATTGACATGAATTCTGGAGATATTGTAGCAGAGCAGATTTAAACAGAGGCAGAGAAGTTAAAGAGCAAATAGACAACGGCAAACTGTTCCAGACGGACGGAGCTTTAAATTCAAATGCATGTTTTCCAGCTTATTTTTTCACTCTTGGAACTACAAAAAAAGATTGATTTGCATGATGCAAACTGTACGAGGATTGGAAAGGAATCAGATATTGTTTTAAATATTCAGGAAAACTCAGATGAATACATTTGAAAATAAACAATAGCCAATGTAGCTGACGTCTGGAGGACAGAGAGAGCCACAACAGCTGCTCGTACATCAGGCAGTGATGGGTTCTGAACGGACAGCGAAGGATGAACCTACACAGACTGTTGTAAGAGACAGTCAGAGGCTGGAGAACAGAGGCAGTAGTGTTTAGATAAATTATATCACAGTAATCAAGAATGGGGAGAATCAATTGAGAAACGATCCTCTTCCTTACTGATAAACTAAAACAGTTAATTGAATGATAAAGCAATTTTAAACAATAGGAAATTTTGTTTGTAATTGTTTGTATATGAATATTAAATGACAGAAGGATCGAGCCATAAGCCGAGATGTTTAAACCGATCTACAACTGGAACTGGAGACATGTCTGAAAACACAAGATTAATTTAATTTGTAGAAACAGGACACACTCTCTTCTGGAATAGCAAAACATTTGTTTTTGTTTTGTTTAGAAATAAATTGCTAGATTGTAGCCATAATTGAACTGAATTGAAGTCATTTTTAATTAGTGTTGGACATCAGCAATATTAGCTTTGGATGAATAGATTACTGTATCATCAGCATAAAGTTGGATCTGACAGTCTGTACATGCAAGTGGAAGATCAGTAATGAATATGGAGAACAGTAGAGGACCAAGTGATGAGCCCTGCGGCACCCCTCTCTCAATAAATGAAAACTCAGATTAGCTGCCATTAAAAAATACACACTGCTGACGATCGTGCAGATAAGAATTAAACAGAGGAGTGAGGGTCCTAAATATCCCTAAAATAGTTCTGTCAGAGCTCCAGGAAAAAAATAATTTCTTGGGTGGTGAAGATAAGAAAGGATTTGCAATAAACAAATGGTAAACTATGTATTTGTTATTGTTTGTTTGGTTGGGACAGTGCATGTTGTAGTCTTGGGCTAATTGGCATCCGTTGGCCCACAGTCGGGCGACAGTAGCTCAGTTGGAAGAGCATTGGCCTTCAGTGGGTTCAATTCCCACCTCTACACCTTCTCCATCGACTCCCACTGATGACTGCTGTCGTTGTGTCCTTGGGCAAGACACTTAATCCCACTTTGCCCAAAGCCCCTGCTGCAAGATCAAGGCTGTGGACTCACCACCTGCAGAGGGTCAGTGAGGGGCTGGTGCTATGAGACTTGGGTGGCATCTCTGACTGTCACCCCCCTGACCCAGAAATGGATTAAAGGGTAGAAAATGGATGGATGGATGGATGGCCCACAGTTGCACTCACAAACAAATGGCTGAGTGGCTACTTCCAGCTCGGGTAGTTGTAGTCACAAATTTCCCAGCTGGGATAAGAAAGTTTGCCTTAACCTTACTTTTATAATAAGTTGTATGCAGATAGAAAGTACAGAGGCAGAGCTGCTTCAAAGTTTGAGTGTGTTTGAAGCTGGGAGGGGGCAGTTGTCGGGCACCTTGCGGCCCCTCCCCCTCTGTCTTTCCCTCAGATCAGAGTTTTCCAATGTCGGCAGTTTTGCATCCTCTCCTGTCGATCGATGGAGCGCTGATTATCCCACCTGACGTTGGCCGGACATGCTTCGGTCACGCTGCTGTCTTTGTCTGGCAGTGCAGGCACTTCAAGGACACATTACAGGGACGAGAGGAGGGACACTTTGATATCCAAGGGTTTGAGAGTAATTCAAAAATAGAGCAGCTGCTGTAGATTTTGAGCTCCTTCGTCTCACTTCTCCCGATCCAGTTGCTGGACTCCTTTCTATGAGCCTGTGAGCCACCGCAAAATCTACTCAGCCACACTGTGATTCGTGACCAGGATTTTTTGTGATTTCAATCCATAAAAAAGACATATTGTCAAAGAAAGGGCAAAAAGACAAGACTGAGTACATATTACTGATTATAAAACTCTATGTCTCATGAACAATTGAAAAACAATTGTTTTTAACAACCTTTTTGCTAGATCAACACATCAGGTCTGAAAGTGATATCACGGATGCAGACAATCCTTACTCTTGCTGTATGTAGGGGAGCTTTAAGCTCAACCAATCACAAGCCTCATAGTATGATCCATGGGACAACCAATTATACTGGGAAATGTAGTTCTGTTGACAAGACTTAGATTAGGCTTAGACCCTGACGCTCTGCCCACTTTCTAGCTCAGTGAACAGAGAGAAGAAGATACTGTATGTAGCTAGTAGTACTGACAAGTTTTGTATTGGGTAATGAAAAGACTGACATGGTAGATGGCAACACATTTTGATCCATTTATTGTATGAAACATTGTATGAACCACTTTCTTTTGGAGTGTGTGCACTTGTATTGATTCATTTGGACTTTATATCAATTTGTTGATCATTATAAACTTGTTTAAATAAAGTTTCAATCGGGAGAAAGTTCAAGGAAGTATTTGTCTTAGAATTGTGGACTCACCGAGTGCTGACATCGCCCATAGAGTTTGCCTAAAGCGAAAGACGCCGATTTGAACAGCGGCAAGTTGGAGCCTTATATGGGACTTTGTTACGATGTGTTGACCTACGCGCCATGGCAGGGGCAGATGCAAACTAATGTCAATAATTATGGCTCATATCTGGATTTACAGATATGAGCAAAAACACTAAGACAATATTTCAACTAAAAACACTAGGATCAAGGTGACCATGACACACAAATGGTTAGTGAGCAAGAGGAGTTTACTTTTCAATGTAAGTGAATAGGAGCCAGAGGAAGAATTCCACTTCCTCAGTCTGTTCCGACCACTGGAGGAATTGCCGCCACGTTCTTGTGAATGATAGCGGTTCCACACTCTGTACCAACCCTTCAAAGGTTTGCACAAATACACAAGGGAACCTGCTCTGATAGAAACAAACCTGCATTATGGGAGCCTCAGGAAGTTTCCATGTCTTTATCCGTGATTCCTCCTGAAGCACAACTAAATCTCACTAAATGTAAGCTGGGGTACCTAACTCTCCCCCCCCCCCCCATTAATAATGCATGTAGGTTGTACCCAAGAAAGACTTCTTCATTGCATTATTTTTTCATCATTTGCATACAGCCCTGTGAGTCACTATTTGACTCTTTGGGCTGAGAACTGATTTAATTGACAAAAAATTCCAGAGAAGCATTAACTGAGGGAATGGAGCCGAAGCGAGTTGGAGCAAAACGTCATAGAGCTACCAGATTGTTTAACACTGTCCATTCTTATTTATGCTGACGGCTTTTGTGCAGAATAGAATGGAATCTTTGAGAATAAATTCGTCTTGGGTACAGTGCTACACAGTAGATTATAACAATAAAAACACAGAACATTAAATAATAATAATTAAAAAAAAAAAAAAGGACCATGTTGTCTTGGGTTCAGGAGCTGCTGCTGTCTGGGATGCCTGAAATCGACGTCCAGGACTGGTACGAAAACACAGAGTACACCAGCGGCTACGACGATCAGGAGCCAGTCATCAAGGTAAGAGACCAGTGTGAGAGAGATACCAGTGTGAGAGAGAGGTCGGTGTGAGAGAGAGGCCCGTGTGTGAGAGAGGCCGGTGTGAGAGAGAGTGGCCAGTGTGAGAGAGAGGCCGGTGTGAGGGAGAGGCCGGTGTGAGAGAGAGTGGCCAGTGTGAGAGAGAGGCCGGTGTGAGAGAGAGACTAGGGTGAGAGAGAGGCTGAATTGAAGTCATTTTTAATTAGTGTTGGACATCAGCAATATTAGCTTTGGATGAATAGATTACTGTATCATCAGCATAAAGTTGGATCTGACAGTCTGTACATGCAAGTGGAAGATCAGTAATGAATATGGAGAACAGTAGAGGACCAAGTGATGAGCCCTGCGGCACCCCTCTCTCAATAAATGAAAACTCAGATTAGCTGCCATTAAAAAATACACACTGCTGACGATCGTGCAGATAAGAATTAAACAGAGGAGTGAGGGTCCTAAATATCCCTAAAATAGTTCTGTCAGAGCTCCAGGAAAAAAATAATTTCTTGGGTGGTGAAGATAAGAAAGGATTTGCAATAAACAAATGGTAAACTATGTATTTGTTATTGTTTGTTTGGTTGGGACAGTGCATGTTGTAGTCTTGGGCTAATTGGCATCCGTTGGCCCACAGTCGGGCGACAGTAGCTCAGTTGGAAGAGCATTGGCCTTCAGTGGGTTCAATTCCCACCTCTACACCTTCTCCATCGACTCCCACTGATGACTGCTGTCGTTGTGTCCTTGGGCAAGACACTTAATCCCACTTTGCCCAAAGCCCCTGCTGCAAGATCAAGGCTGTGGACTCACCACCTGCAGAGGGTCAGTGAGGGGCTGGTGCTATGAGACTTGGGTGGCATCTCTGACTGTCACCCCCCTGACCCAGAAATGGATTAAAGGGTAGAAAATGGATGGATGGATGGATGGCCCACAGTTGCACTCACAAACAAATGGCTGAGTGGCTACTTCCAGCTCGGGTAGTTGTAGTCACAAATTTCCCAGCTGGGATAAGAAAGTTTGCCTTAACCTTACTTTTATAATAAGTTGTATGCAGATAGAAAGTACAGAGGCAGAGCTGCTTCAAAGTTTGAGTGTGTTTGAAGCTGGGAGGGGGCAGTTGTCGGGCACCTTGCGGCCCCTCCCCCTCTGTCTTTCCCTCAGATCAGAGTTTTCCAATGTCGGCAGTTTTGCATCCTCTCCTGTCGATCGATGGAGCGCTGATTATCCCACCTGACGTTGGCCGGACATGCTTCGGTCACGCTGCTGTCTTTGTCTGGCAGTGCAGGCACTTCAAGGACACATTACAGGGACGAGAGGAGGGACACTTTGATATCCAAGGGTTTGAGAGTAATTCAAAAATAGAGCAGTCATCAAGGTAAGAGACCAGTGTGAGAGAGATACCAGTGTGAGAGAGAGGTCGGTGTGAGAGAGAGGCCCGTGTGTGAGAGAGGCCGGTGTGAGAGAGAGTGGCCAGTGTGAGAGAGAGGCCGGTGTGAGGGAGAGGCCGGTGTGAGAGAGAGTGGCCAGTGTGAGAGAGAGGCCGGTGTGAGAGAGAGACTAGGGTGAGAGAGAGGCCGGTGTGAGAGAGAGGCCGGTGTGAGAGAGAGGCCAGTGTGAAAGAGAGGCCGGTGTGAGGGAGAGAGGCCGGTGTGAGGGAGAGTGGCCAGGGTGAGAGAGAGGCCGGTGTGAGAGAGGCCGGTGTGAGAGAGAGGCCGGTGTGAGAGAGAGGCCCGTGTGAGAGAGAGGCCGGTGTGAGAGAGAGTGGCCAGTGTGAGAGAGTGGACAGTGTGAGAGAGTGGCCAGTGTGAGAGAGAGTGGCCGGTGTGAGAGAGAGTGGCCGGTGTGAGAGAGAGTGGCCGGTGTGAGAGAGAGTGGCCGGTGTGAGAGAGTGAGGCCAATGTGAGAGAGAGAGGCCAGTGTGAGAGAGAGGCCAGTGTGAGAGAGAGGCCAGTGTGAGAGAGAGGCCAGTCTGAGAGAGTGACCAGTCTGAGAGAGGCCAATATGAGAGAGTGGCCAATGTGAGAGAGAGGCCAGTGTGAGAGAGAGGCCAGTGTGAGAGAGAGGCCAGTGTGAGAGAGAGGCCAGTGTGAGAGAGAGGCCAGTGTGAGAGAGCGTCCAGAGAGGCCAGTGTGAGAGAGAGGCCAGTGTGAAAATTCATCAAGAAGAAAATTTAAAAGATACCTAAATGTTTTCTCTGATTGACTGTAGCTGTCCAATCAAATGCGACCAATGTTCAGAAATGTCATGTATTTGAAAATTACGTGATTAAAAGTGTCTGGCTCCTATATTTCTTATCGTTATTTTTGATCAATTCCATACAGTAACTCCATCAACATTCAAACTCCAGCTCCCACTTTGTTTTTCTCCACTTGACCAATATTGAGCATAGATTTTAGTGTTATTTGTGTCTCTTTTAAACATCCTCCTCCTACTGTACATCCCTTCTTTCATTCTGTTTTCAGCCTCACTTGTTATTCATGATTTTTTTCTTTAAGTGGTTCTGGGAGGTTGTGCACAGTTTGACCCAAGAAGAGAGAGTTTTGCTGCTGCAGTTTGTAACCGGGAGGTAGGTGTTTATTTTTGATGCTTTTGATCTTATTTGCACAGGACTCATCCCACCACATTTGTATTTTTAATTTTACAAGATAAGCCATGTTTTTACTGGCTTCATTTTGGTTTTGACAACAACTATTGATTCATTCAAACCGCTAGTATTGCTGCTGCTTTAGGCTTTAGGCAATAGAAATGTAAGTCTCTCTATTCAATTAAACTAAAAGAGAAACTCAAAATGGTCCTTAAATAAAATAACTGTTACCCTGATGGTGATTACTGATTATATGTTTTGCCTTTAACATGTTTGCACACTAATATCCATGCCAAATGTGACATGTAGATTTCTCCAGTGTAAGATCAGTAAAGTCTATCTTATCTTCCTCGTCCAGCTCTCGCGTCCCTCACGGCGGCTTCGCGCTCCTGATGGGAGGAGGAGGTTTGCAGAAGTTCACCATCACTGCGCTGCCATACACGTGCCACCTGCTGCCCACCTCCAGCACATGGTAACACTGTTTCTATTCATTATTAGGAAAGTCAAACATAGGGTTGTGCAACTGTTCACCACCTTCATCACCACTACCATCCTCATCATCATCATCATCAGCATCAAACTTTATTACAAACAATCGATGCCCAGAGTTTACCACCAAGCAACAGTGAAATACATTGAACTGTATTTCCCCATTCTTGTCTTTTAAACCAGCTATATTATTCTTACATTCTGAATCATCAAATTAACTTATTGTTATTATTTGCTCAATGTTGTTCTGGTCTTAAAATGTAGAACTTGAGCTCAGGATGATGCACATCTTTCTTCTCAACATCTGTGCAAGAAAGGTTTCCAGAAAAGGCACAGATTGGATATTTTTCATAGTTTATTCATTACTTTTATGATTAGTTTTGGATCATAAAAGATCATGACAAGCATTTCAAAGGAAAAATGTGTTAAATTAAAAAAAGTTAAATTTGCAACCTCTGATGAGCTTCTTTCATTAAACATTGATCTGGGTTTATTTGATCTGATGCTAAAACCTGTCTCACCACAAGGGACATTCATTTCAATACGATATATTTCTACGATTGAGAATCATAGATCTTTGGCCCTTCATCTAATGCTCTGCCACATTTTGTTTGGTTGTCAACAGTCAAACAAGCTTGATGAAACCTTCTCATCTTCTGAAATCTTAAAATGGAATAATCAAATATAATAAGCCCCTTTTGTAATGCTCAGTAATTGTCTTTTAGTGTAGTTGGACGAGGTAATCCACTAGAGGGAGCTGTGTCCACATGTATGAGCAGATGGAGGAGATAGGAATAATCAATGGGGCGTAGGTTTTAGATTGTGTTTTTGTTTTTTCCCCACAAGATCACACATGCCGAGAACACTGCTAGACAAACCTGCATAATTCAATTTTTAATTTAAGTTCTTAAAAATGTCTTGAAGAAAAGGTGCACTCTGTACGTTTTTCACACACCTGCTTTGATCTTATGTATTTTCAGGGAGATTCCTAAATTTCAAGCCCTTGTGTAATTTTTTTTTTTTAAATTCAACCATAATAAACTATTTCAATGTAAATCAGAAGGTTTCAGACTTCACCTTTACCTTCCTCTCTGTCTTCAGTATCAACATGCTGAAGCTGCCGGAGTACCCGAGCCTGGACGTCCTGAGAGACCGGCTGCTTGTGGCTCTTCACTGCGGCAGCTACGGCTACACCATGGCCTGAAGCGACCTGTGTGCCACCGACTGTAGCCACAGCTGGACTGGACTAGACTGAAGCGAGGCTGCCAATCTGTGGCATCGCCCCCTCAGACCAACACCTATCATTTACTGGACATACTGCATTGCCTAAGGACTCAATGACCATTTCAGTAAAGACACATTTGTCCCACTGAGGCTCCTGATGTCACAGTGATCACTCATCCAAGTATCAAAGTACCAGGCTGCAACCTGCTGAGTGTCTGAGGTCTGACCGGATCAGGCTCTGATGAGCAGGAATGGACAGTAAAGACCTCTTTATGATCTTTAATGTGAGTATATTCACAACCGTTCTTTTTTACACTATGGCCAAATATTTAACTCCAACCTCCACTTTACTGCTGTGTCATTTTATAAACTTTTGCTGGACTGAAAAGGGAATCACATTTTGTGTACAACACACTGTATATTTTTATAACATGGACCAGATATTTCCAAGCTTGGATGTACAGCAGTGTATTGTTGGAACAGCGTCTGTGTCTCTGTTTTTAAAGGTGTAACATTCGTATCTTATTCATCTGAGCACAAAGTGTGTCTCAAAATATTCTGCTTTATTTGTCTTATTCGTGGCCTTGAAACATTAACTTAAGTTTGGTATCTCATGTGAGTAGAAAAGACACATTACCTATGAACTTCTGACTATCTGTTCAATTGATGTCAGCACCACCCACTGGTGACAGTGGGAATTACCATATCTTAAAAAGTATCGGTAATTAACTCATTTGACTACAGAGAAACGCATTGTTGATGATGAACGCGTTTAAGACAGATGTGCAACACAAATCTTCTCCTGCTTGTATAATTATGATCATTATTACCACAGTGCTGGAAGTCCGCCTCCATCGTGCCTCTTGATATATTTTTAAAGTGTGCTGAGTATTCTGGAGGAAAGAGGAATGGGACCTTTTGAGCTCCAAGGAAATGTATTGTTGTCAAGTTGTGATAAGTTATGTTTGATCCTTTTTCTAATTGATTTATTCTTGCCAAAAAAAAGATGAATATTTAATTTTTCCAAAAGGCCTGTACATACTGTTATTGCTCCCATTGAGTATTAAGACTGATTAAGTTAACTATTGAAAAAGGATAAATAGTTTCTCCAAAAAAGTGCCTATTCAAATACAAATATACAGTAGTAAAATACAAACTTGTTTAGGCTAAACAAAAACATTTATTTTAAAAGTGGCTATAGTGGGTAAATAAACAATAGCTGTGATTGTCTGGGCCAAGGAAAAGCAATTGTCCAAGCTCAGCATTTTTCTACTGTAAGAAATGCATCCATAATTTATAGAATAATGTGTGTAACATCGACCACAAGGAGTGCTGGGCAGATCAAGAAAATGTTTGTTTCTGGATCAGAGTAGTTACTCAGGTATGAGTAATTTGAAGTCATTGGCTAAATGGAAATAAGTGGCACAGAATGCATTGTGTTTCAGCTGTATACATGTATTAAATTATATATTTACAGAAATGATGAATGCTGAAAAACATTAAACATGTAACTACAGGGCTGTTTTGTGCAATCCAGGTTTTACGCTCTGGCAACAGTCCTCCATCGCAAAGGCCAGATCATGCTAGTTCGTCAACCTAAACACAATTTCTTGTAAACATACAAAGGTTTTCCAGTTACACATGTCATAAATAGGCCAGTATCGGTGATGAGCAGATCTGTGCCATGATATAAACACATTGCCTAAGCAAACTAAGCCCGTTTGGAATCAAATATAGAAAATAGTATTTAAAAGCTGAGATTGAATGCTAAAGAATAGGAATTGTTCATGTGTTTATCTGTCCTTGCCTTGTTAGACATGCTGTAATAAACTCTGTACTGGAGCTGTTTAGAACAGCCTCTGTTGATCTTTCTAACTGGTCAACTCTACACCTGCACTTTTCTTTGGTTTATGGTTATCTTTTAGGTGCCAGACAAAGGGTTTGAAGAGATAGAGGATTTCTCAAATCAATAACAGGAACAAATTGTAAATGTTTCCATTGTGAGATCAATAAAATGTATCTTATCTTAATTTTATGAAAAACATGTATGGGAAGCCAAGTCGCTGTATAGAAAACCACTCCTGTTGTATTGGCACCTAAATGGTTAATATATTATTTGTTTTACTCAAAAGAGGGAAAAGTCAGAAAGAGGCTTTTTTTTTTACCCTTTCTTAGACGGTCCAACTCTGGAAATCTAATTCCAGTTCTTTGTAATCAATCAACTAAACCCACTGACACTGATATTAATTTTAACCTTGCTCTACTTAATGTCAGATCACTATGCAACAAATCATTTTTAATTAATAATTTTATCTGTTCGTATGATCTTGATTTTATGTTTATGACTGAAACATGGCTTGACCATAACAGGAGATGCAGTTTTAATAGAAGCCTCACCACCAAATTTCAAATTTGAATATGAAACACGAGAAAATAAAAGGGGGGGGGGCATAGCAGCAGTTTTTAAAGATCGTATTGTCTCCCATAGAGTGTCTCTTGGGAAATTTTCATCATTTGAGTATGTTTCTTTTAAAATAGAACAAAAGAAATCTTCTTCCATTCTTATTATTGTTGTGTACAAGCCGCCACAGTCATGCCATAGTTTCACTGATCATTTCACTGAGTTGCTTTCAGTTGTGTGCACAGATTTTGATGGTTTAGTCATTATAGGTGATTTCAATATACATGTAGATAATGCTAATGATAGATATGCAATAGAGCTGAGCTCTGTGCTGGAAACTTTTGGTCTCACTCAGCATGTGAGTGGCCCCACCCACAGCAGAGGACACACTCTTGATCTGTTAATTACCAAGGGGGTTAATATTTCAAATGTAAATGTGGTCAATGTTGCTCTGTCTGATCATTTCTGTGTATTTTTTGACATGTGTCTTGATTGTAAACCACCAGCTGAATCTTCGGTTGTTAGAAGAAGACACATAAATGATAATACAGGCGAACTGTTCATGGCGAGGATAAACTTTGAGAACACGTTGTGTGTTACTGTAGATGAATTACTTGACTCTGTCACCACCACTGTTTTGAATGTTCTGGATACAATTGCTCCTGTAAAGGTTAAAATAGTTACAAACAAGCAAAAAGCGCCATGGACTAAAGCAGACTCGGTCAGGGCACAGAAGAGAGAGTGCCGGAAGGCCGAGCGGAAGTGGCGAAAGTCAAATCTCGAAGTTGACCATGAGATCTTCAAAGATGCGTTGTGCAATTTTAACAGGGAACTACGTAGAACGAGGGAAATGTACTTTTCTGAAACTATTGAAGGCTGTAGCAACAATCTACGTGTTCTGTTTTCAACAGTAAATAGATTGACAAATCCCCCTGTTAAGATGCCATCAGAACTTACTTCCAAATCTAAATGTAATGAGTTTGCTCAGTTCTTTAATGACAAAGTCCAAGGTATCAAAAACGCCATCACCTCCACGATAGAAATAATAATCCAACCGCCAGTGAGGCTTTTTGGGCTGACGCACTTTACACCAGTACAAACTGAAACTGTCCAGGAGATAATCACTAGTCTGAGTTCCTCCACATGCAGCCTGGATGTATTACCTCCTAGATTTCTCAAGTCAGTTCTGAGCAGTCTTTTACCTTCACTTACACAAATGGTTAATATGTCTCTTGAGTCTGGAACATTCCCAATGGCCTTGAAAACGGCGGTCATCAGGCCCCTCCTAAAAAAGAGGAGTCTGGAAGCCCTGGCACTCAAAAATTATCGGCCCATTTCAAATCTGCCTTTCATGGGAAAAATTCTAGAAAAAGTTGCCTATAAACAACTTACAGAATTTTTAATAATTAATAACGCTTATGATATGTTCCAGTCAGGGTTTAGACCCCACCACAGCACTGAGACCGCGCTAATAAAGGTAACAAATGACATTAAACTAAACACTGACGCAGGAAAAGTCTCAGTCCTTTTTCTGTTAGATTTAAGTGCTGCTTTTGACACTATTGATCATGGCATCCTCATTCAGAGACTTGAGGACTGGGTTGGTGTTGCTGGCACCGCCCTAAGCTGGTTTAGGTCCTATTTACAAGACAGAAAGTTTTTTGTGGAGATCGAAAACTGTACCTCAGACCACTTGGCCCTGACCTGCGGAGTGCCACAGGGGTCAATCCTGGGTCCTCTTCTGTTTAATATTTACATGTTGCCTCTAGGTCAGTTGATTCACAGTAATAATGTCTCTTATCACAATTACGCTGACGATACTCAGGTCTATGTGTCCCTGACAGCAGGAGAGCATGAACCAGTGGACTCGCTCCTTCACTGTGTCCAGCAAATCGGTGATTGGATGCAAAATAACTTTCTCCAACTAAACACCGACAAAACTGAAATAATTGTTTTCGGACCCCAGAAACAAAGAGAGAGCGTTATTTGTCACCTCCAGGCTCTCTCTCTACAACCCTCAAATCAGGTCAGAAATCTAGGAGTGATAATGGACTCAGACTTAAATTTCAAAAGCCACATAAAATCTGTAACATCAGCAGCTTATTACCACCTAAAAAACATTGCTAAAATTAAAAACATAGTGTCTAAGGCAGACTTGGAGACTCTTATACACGCTTTTGTCTCCAGTCGGTTAGACTATTGCAATGGCTTGTTCACAGGTCTCTCCAAACAGGCTGTAAAACAGCTGCAGTATATTCAAAATGCAGCAGCTCGAGTCCTGACCAGAACTAGGAAGTGCGACCACATTAGTCCAGTTCTCAGGTCTCTGCACTGGCTTCCTGTTCCTCAGAGAATAGACTTCAAAGCAGCTTTACTTGTGTACAAGTCTCTCCATGGTCTCGCGCCAAGGTACATCCACGACATGTTTGTGCCATATGAGCCGACCCGGACTCTGAGGAGCACAGGGACTGGACTCCTGTTAGTGCCCAGAGTCGGTACTAGACATGGGCAAACCGCATTTCAGATTCATGCGGCTAGAGTCTGGAACCGTCTTCCTGAGAATGTGAGACAGGCGTCTA